GAAGTACAAGAGACAATAGGTAGTAAAACAATAGACAGTAGCACTAAACAAAATAATACTGTAATCGAACTATACGAAAGCAATAGACATCAACAAAGTCAAAGAACAAGAAACTACAAGCATAGCACTAAGACTACTAGTAAGAGCACCGAGATAACACACTCCTACCTACAAGCATGAACACACTCCCCAATACTTCTTCGGTCTATCTTTACCTCTCCTAAATCCATTTTTAGCTAATCTCTCACACCAATCCTCATCACATAGCCGGACTATTAAATGAAATAAAATGGATTTTTCACTTCTTTGTAAGGGTTTAACACCTACTTCACTAATAGATAGGGTTTAACTTCTTTTATTCTATTTGGTTTATAAAGTCGGTTTTTTCATGTGGGAATTTCTTTTTGGTTAATGGATGGAAAAGACAGTTTACAAATCCAAATGGAGTGGAAGCGATGTAGATGATTCATATAGCTCTAGACTCAACTAGTTTAGAGTTAAATTATAATAGTAGTTGTTCTGCGAAATTAGAGTCGAATCTAAGATTTGTAGAACATGAGTGCACTTCTAAGTGAAGAAGGAAAAGATGTTTTAAAGGAAGAATTGATCCCTAGTCCTCTAGGTAAATAACTCTACGTTCAACCAAGTGCATCATTTAGTCTTCTTGTAGGATGGGTGCCACGTGTCAACATTTAATTTTATACCATTTTTTAAAAATATAGAGACAAAATACCTATTTTTTTACAAAGAGACCACGAGTTCACGTGCCCCATTTTTAGTGCATAAATTTGTCCGGGGCGAAAGAGAGTTTATGGATTTAGTGCTCTTTTTTCTTTGCAGATATAACTACTGCAATTTTCTTCTTCAATTTAGAATTCTATTTTTTGTTAAAATAGAGGTTAGAATGGATGAGCATTGATTTTGTTGTTGTAAATATACTATGATCTTGCAGTCCCTTTTCCAGTACAAGTGTGTTTGTCAGTTAAATTTTGTCGCAGATGCTATTGTTTTTAGATGCTGCTATTGTTTGTTGGCTCTTTGAAATCACAGAGGACTTAATTTGTGTGGCTGATAGAAAATATTCATTCTCAAAAGTTTGTGGCCTATTGAAAACAAAATATGCTTCATCTTGTAAACTTTCCTTTTTAGTTGTATATTTGGGAGTTCTGCATATTACTTGACGTTTCCTATTTATTTTTTTCCGTATGCTTATCTCTTTCTCTTGTAAGATGCGGATATGGTCATGCAACATGATGAGCAGGTAGTAAATTGTACTGCTCTAGAAGTGGAAGATGGTCTTGCTGATGATGAACGGGAAGAAGAAGCTTAGTAATGCTTGATGAATCGCCTTCTGGCATAGCGATGACTACAAATCTCCTCGGTACCTATTCACTTCCTTGTAATGCAGTGTTTTTTCCTGCTATTTCAAGGATATCAGTCATTAGTGATTTTTGCTCTTTCCATAAAATCCTGATTATCAGAGTATCTGAGGTTAGATTCTGATATTGCACAATCTTCTTCATATATACTCTGCATGAATAATTGATGATAATTGCATTCTTAATTTTTATTCTACGTGGTCATTGGTTATTTTTCAAGGTTTTGATGCATTTTATAGGCGATGAAGAAGAGTCTGAAAATGACGATTCATCTACTGACATGGAGTCCTCAAACTCCCTTCGTGTGAGAACTTTACATATCAGTTCTCCCATATTGGTGGCTCAGAGTCAATTCTCTTACAAGGTGATTAGTCTTTAATGTAATACTTTGGCCTTAATAATTAGGCATTCCCTTTTTTTTTCGTACAACTATTTGTTTTGTTCGTAGTTGTTCCCAAATGGTATGAAAGAGTCGGCATTACGGCAGATAACTATACAAATCCATGCGTAGGGTAAGTACTTTATTTCAACTACATTTCCTTCTCAAGGCAAGCTTGAAAAAGAATGCAATGTTTGTCAATAGATGAACCGTCTGCTTCTGCTCCCAGTGGCTATTGTTAGGGTTAAAAGTTTAGAATAACTAGATTTTTCTCTAATAGGAAATTTGAATTTTGTATGAACCCGATACATTTTCTGTTTATACTTTTCAATATCAATGTACCATAATAAAAATCATATTACCTACTATGAATGAATTGAAATTGAGATCTTCCTAGGGTTGCCAAAGTCCAAACAACTATATAAGTAAACACCACACTAGGGTCTAGGAACTTTGGTATTTAGCGCCGGCACATGTATCCAATATTTTTTATTTTTTTATTATGGGATCCTTGACATGAATTTTATATGAGATATTCCTGAAGAGTCAATTTGACAAGGATTATCGTGTATGATGTTTGCAAGTTTAGTAGTATTCTCTATACACTTGATGGTTTTTATGTGCAAAATATCCTGCCCACCTCTTAGTTTGTTTCCACTTTTCCCTTCGTTTTAAGAAAAAATTATATGCATATATTTTCTTCTGTTGTTGGTTGACAAAAGAACTAACTTTTTCCTTTCTCAACTTTTTGAGCAGAAGAAGCTGCGCTCATGGATCTCTTGAATTTTATGTATAGTAATACTTTTTCAGCTACAACACCTACTGCTGTGCTTGGTGTGATGATGGTTGCTGACAAATTTGAGGTTGCGTCATGCATGAAATACTGCAGTCACTTACTGCGGAATCTAACCATGACGACTGAATCAGCATTGCTCTATTTGGATCTTCCTTCCAATATATTAGTGGCGGATGAAGTTCAGCCTTTTAACAGATGCTGCAAAACAGTTTCTTGCTCAACGTTTCAAGGACATAACCAAGTGAGTAGCCCTATGTAGACATGGTTCTCTATGGTTTGGTTGAATTTGAGAAAGAAAGTATCTTCATTTGCATTCTTTTTCCTTAAATCCTTCAGGTTCCAAGAAGATGTATTGAGTCTTCCTCTTTTGGAATTGAGGCTGTTTTGTCAAGTGGTAATCTTCAAATTGCTTCAGAGGATGCTGTCTTTGAGTTTGTGTTGAAGTGGGCTCGTATGCATTACCCAAAACTTGAGGAACGACGGGAAGTATGGAGCTCACATCTTCTTCACCTCATTCGATTTCCATGCATGACATGCAGGAAGCTGAAGAAAGTCGTGATGTGCACTGACTTTGATCCCAAGCTTGCTTCAAAGCTTGTTTTCGAGGCTCTTTTTTATAAGGCCAAAGCACCGTATCGGCAGTGCTCAATTGCTGCCGAGGCGGGGAATGTGTCGTACCATCGTTATGTGGAGCGGCATACAAGTACAGACCTATTAAAGCTCTTGAGTTTGAACGCCTCATCAGCAGTGCGTTATATACCTAGATTTGAAAAGAGACGAATGTGCTAGCCTCTTTCCAGCTGGTAGAGTTTAATCACAGGCTTTCCATTTGGGTGGACAGGGTTTTTTCCTGTCAGCTCATTGCAACATGGATCATCAAAGTGCATTCCATTGCTTTGGGTTGTTTCTGGGCATGCAAGAGAAGGGGTCTGTGTCATTTGCAGTTGATTATGAGTTAGCAGATCGTATCAGTCCAGGTGAGGAATATGTGAGCAAGTACAAGGGAGATTACACCTTCACTAGTGGCAAGGCTGTTGGCTACAGGAACCTGTTTGGTGTAGCTTGGACCCCCTTTTTGTCTGAAGATAGTTTATTCTTCATCAATGGAATTCTCCATCTTCGCGCAGAGCTTAGAGTCAGGGAATAGAAAGCCAGAGTCCTGGAGATTTTTTACGTTGTAATAGTATCTTACTTTCTTGCTTAAAGTGCTCCACATATGAGCTAGAGTTTTGTGGGTTATAATGTTTTTTGTCTGTTGCCATAGTTGCACTGTTGTAAATTAGTAAAATCAAACTTGTTGAGTAGTTTCATGTTTTGATCTTTTAATGACTTTAATCATGCTGATTCCAGTTGCTTTGGGATGTGTATTTAAGTACATTCCATCGAAGCTTCAAATTCTATTTTGGTTGTGGATACCAATTCTGCTAGATCATCAATGCATCACAAGCTTTGACTGCCTGCTGTGTTTGAACTTCTAGCATACACAGTAAATGTTGGTTTTCAGATTGACCTAATGCAGGTACTCTTTGCGGCTGGGCGTGGCAGAAGAGAGAAATGCCACCCTTTCTATTAAGCTGTTGCGCACTACATTCTATAACGAGGATCAGAAGGCTGGGTAACGAGGAAAAGCTTGGCAGAGCGTCCTGAGATAACAAGACATCGGTGACAATGTCCAGTGATGAGAATGGCAACATCTTTGTGTAGCTGCTCGAGATGGTAAAGTTTTTTTAACTGACTGTTATGTTTGTTATGGCATGCTTCTTCTTTGACTCTTTGACATTGAAGAATAAAATGCTCCTAGGGAGTTCAAGAGAGTATTTGATTCAGCTGATTCACTTTTTAGATACGCTGTTACATGTTTGATAGGTTTCCACATCACAGGCTGTGCAATGGAAGTTACAGCTTAGATCATGGCTTTTTTGAGTACTCATCAAACTGTCCATATAAATCCTAGCTGTTCCAACTTCTTATAAAGATTTGTCTGCAAAAATACAAAAGAACATGCACTAAAGTCCATGTGATAAATGATAATTTCCGCATTCTATGGAATATCTATGGTCTCTTTTATCAACAGACAAAGTCATCATTGCTTCACCCTAAAGGTGTAATTCCTATTATTATGCTAATGGGACCAACTTAAGCATGACTTTGAGCATATAACCCTACTCCTTTTTTCCTTTTATTGATAATGATGAAGTCTGCGTGTACTCTATCCTCCTCCGACCCCACTTATGTTTATACTGGAATTCAGACCGCCTTGATTTTCCACGATTTTGACCCACTTCATTATCACACCCTTGGTTATAGTCCTACTTTTAGTCCAAAAGAGAAAAAGACTTCCCATCTCCAACCCCTCTTTCTTCCCCTCAATTTCAGCCATTTTCCAAGCTTAAAGTCCTTCATACCGTTTGAAAAGTAAAGCAAACCGAATAGTTACCCAGATTCAATGAAATCCAAGAATAGATCACAATGGCCAAGAAGATCAAATTTTGTGCAGAACTTGTACATACTTCTGTTATTCCTCTTCTTGAAACTCTTTGTTCTTGTTCAATGTTCTAATAATAACAGCCTTACGAAATCATTAGATGTTATTCTTCATGAACATGCTTTCAATACTTTGATCCATCAACATACTGGATCTTTATATAATGCTACTGTTCCTTCAAGTCTAGCAGGAATGAAACTCACATTAGTGAGGTTAAGAAGCAGGACATTGTGGGAAAAAGGTGCAAACTTCAGTGGATTTTCAATTCCTCCAAGAACAATTCCAGTGCCTTATGTCAAAAGAATCCATATCGTGTACAACGATATGGGAAACTTGTCTGCTCAATACTTCAACATATCAGGTTACAATCTCTTGACTTCTGTTATTGGTTTCATTGTTTATGATGCACCATCACATATTAGCACCATCACAAGTCTTAGAAAGCTTGATCTTAGACCAATGAGACAACCTATATCGATCGAGTTCAAGAATTTAACAGAGATGATCAAGGGAAGAAGCACAACAAAGTACTGTGCAATGTTTGATGAAAATGGAAAAGTTTCACTTAGTGAAATGAGGTTTCCCAACTTGTGTTACACAAGAAATCATGGTCATTTCACTATAGTGTTACCTTCAGAGACAAGGAAGAAGAAGAGAATATGGGGTTTTTTGGTTATCGGTTTCGTTATCGGGCTGTTAGGTGTGGGATTGGTGGCTGTTGTAGGAAGGATGGTGTTGGGAGTTTATAAATCCAAGAGAACGTGTGAAATGGAAAGGGAAGCAGAAGAAGGTGAGATTTTGGAAAGTGTTATGGTTGGTAGAAGCAAAATGCCTGTTGCTATGGTTGCAAGAACTCACCCAGTACTTGAAGGACCATGTTTTCCATAGTTTAACGTCAACTTGTTCGAGACTGAGACGTAGTTTTTCATTACATCGTTTTTGTGGTTTTTAAAGATAAACTCTTTACTTTGTAAGAACCTATTTTGATGAGTTCTCATTTGTTTCTTTTTACTCTTGTACATACAAAATAATCTGGTAAATTGTAAGAATTCATTTTTTTTTCTCTTGAAAAGTATTGCATAAAGAAAAAATAAAATAAAGTCATGAAATTATTGCTTTTGTAAATATAAACGACAATTAGAGAATATGATCACAAAGAAGAAGAAAACAACAAAAATGCTATCACTTAGAAGAATTAATTTTGAATTTGGCTTTTATTTTTTGTTTTATTTGCGTTACAGGACAAATGGAGCGGAAGTGATGTAAAGGATTAATATACAACTAAGTTTAGAGTTGATAATAGAAGTAGTTGATGTGCGAAATACTATTTATGAAATGATTGTTTTTTTGAATTTGACTTTTATTTGTGTTCCTAGACAAATAACCATGAAAATTCGTAAACTTTGTAACTCATAAAGATAATTACAAAAATAAAGAAGCAAAACACTTAATTAAAGTGCTTCAATAATCGATTTTCTTCAATTTCCATCCGCATTTCTCCTAATTTTCTCTGTGAAATAAACTCTGTGTTTCATATCAATTTTGAAAATAAAATTTCTACTTACTTCAAATATATCAGAATCTCAACTAAGCTATGAATTTGCGATTAATAACATTAATTACCTAGATCAATGTTGGTGATAGAGATAGTATCCAAATATGTGTGCAGAATACGTGCCCAAATTTGTACATGTATCATAAGAAGTAATATATATAAATATTAAAGTAGATCAATTTTGAGTTGTCATGTGTAAAAGACAAAGAATTACCGAAGTTCATTTTGTAATTGATTTTGTGATTTCATAATATAAAAAAAAGAATTGAAATATAGAGATTTATCTCAATATGGTCTTGCGTTTACATATGGGTTTTTTCATTGAATTGATTAAATTTGTGAAAAAACTCTAATGACTTTGGGTACACAATTTGACTATTCATTTATTTTTAAAGAGTGAAATTACTTTGAAATAATATATGCAATGGAGCTATGAAGAACTTAAATGGCAGAAATAAAAAACAAAACAAAAAACAGAGCCACAAATTTAATGCTTTTAAAAGTTTCGATACAAATTAGAGATTTGGAGCAATGTCATCTAACTGCAGAAAAAAAAAAACAAGAAAAAAGGTATAAATTGAAGAGATAATTTTGAATTTGGTTTTAATATTTTATTTGATTTGATAAATCAGTTACACTGATTAAGATAATTACAAAAACACAGAAACAGAACACTAATTTAAAGTGCTAAAATCAATGATTTTCTTCAATTCCTACCTGCCTTTCTTCCAATTTCTCTGTGAATTTTTTTTTGCTTCGATTCAATTTTGAAAATAAATTTTCTACGTATTTTGAATATCAAAATCATAATCGAACTATGAGTTTACTTTTAATGACAGAAATTACTCAGATCAAGTATTGATGATAGGTATATACCTAAATACGTGTTCAAATTTGTACATATATCCTAAAAACTAATATTAAAATATTAAAGAAGACCAAATTCTTAGTTGTCATGTGTAAAAGACAAAATCACTGAAATTCATTTTGTAACTGATTTTGTTATTTGACATAAATAAATAAATAAATAAATAAATAAAAAAAAATAGATTTGAAATACAATGTTATCTCAATCTAGTCTTCCTTTTACATTTTGAATTTTTTCTTAAATTTATCTGCATTGATACAATTTGTGAAAAATTCTGATGAATTTTGATACACAAATGAACTATTCATTTGCTAATTATTGTGAAATAATAATATTCAATGACAGAAAAAATAAAATAAAAAATAAAGTCACAAATTTAATTCTTTTGAGCAATATCATCCAACTACACAAAGAAGAAGAAAACAAGAAAAAAGGTATCAATTTGAAGAATTAATTTTGAATTTGTCTTTGATCATATTTTGTTTTATTTGCGTTACAGGATATATTGTCATGAAAATAAGTAAATTATGTAACTACTTAAGGTAATTACAAAAACAAAGAAGCAAAACACTTAATTAAAGTAGTAACATCAAATATGTTGTGTATTTTAAAATATCTAGTTTCAGAGGACGTGCTTTGCACGTGTATTCTATGTGAATTTTTATAGATATGTTATAATGATAAAAAATTTATGGAAATATATATGTAAATTAATGAATAATATAATGTAACAATTACAAAATAAGAATAAAGACTTACGCAATAAAACATTCATAAAAAAACTAAATTAAGAATTCTGATGGTGATAAAAAAAAAGACAAAAAGAAACAGATTTAAGAAAGATCCAATGTAAACATTGTTCTTATAAGACTGATGTATGTATCGATGAAAAAATAAGTATAAAATTAGTACATAAATAGTATAAAATTAGTACATAACTCTCTGAGTTCTTATCGGCTCCTTTCATATCCTATCAAAATTCAAGAGGTTTCTTCATCTACTTTAACTATAGAATGAAAATGATAGCCTAATAATCTTGGTAGGGGTTTCATGAGATTAAAAAAGTTGAATTTATATAGATAGAATAGGAGGAATATCAAAAGATATATTAAAGTTTTAGTTTAAATATTTGGAGGTTATGAATATGAAAAGATGAGAGTTATGAATATTAAGAGTATAAAGTTGAATAAGTAATTAACAAATAATAATAAATAAATGAAGAATATGAAAAAAGAAGTTAAAATTAGCAAACCATGTAGAAAGAATAACTAAAGGTCTTATCACGTAATTAAGCGTTAATGAATTTAAATTTGTGAAGATAGAGTCATTCTTTAATAATAAACGAGAGGACATTATCAACGTGTGTCTCCATTTTGCATATTTGCATCCTTTATATTATTAAATTCGTTATTTATCATAAAGGATAATACTTTATCCACATAAATTATATTATTCATGAGAGGGGTTAAGGAAAAAGTTATGAGAAAGAGGAAAAATTAGCAATTTAGTAAAGACTTTTTTTTTAAAAAAAAATTTATAATTATTATATACATATATATTATAGATGATAAATATTAATTGGATAATAAATACTAATTGGATATTTAATTAGAAATCAATCTTTAGAAGTCTAAAAGTCATTTACCTTTTAATTAAATTTATACAATCAAATATTTAAATATTTTATAACAATTTAATTTATAGAAGGGGTAAATCTGTAATTCAACTTTCAACTTCTTTTGTTCATGCTTTTAGTAATATATGATTTATGTTTAAAAATTTCATACTAAGAAATATAAGATACACGATGTGCAAAATATGTGCCTAAATTTGCACATGTAACCTAAAAACTATTATATTAAAATATTGAAAAAAAAGTACAAAAATATCAACTTTGTTAATCAGTAACACACATAAAAAACTTTCAATCAAGATCGGATAGTCATATTTTAACCAACACTAATTTCATATTAATAATATTTTATATATTTGCACGTATATAAAAGTAATAATATATTTTATATTATTCGACCCGTCCTGGCCTGGCCTTGTCACTAACACTAAGCTACAATGAGCTCTGAAGAAATTACATGGCGAAAAACATAAAACAAGTCATGAAATTAATGCTTTAGCAAATTTTGATAGAAATTGAACAGTTGGAACAATAGAGAAAACAAGATGAAGAAGAAAAAAGATTAGAAGAACATAAATTAGTAGACCAAATTTTTGAGTTGTAACTGATTTTGTGATTTGACATAAATACAAAAAGAAAACATATTTGAAATACGCAGTGTTATCTCAATTTGGTCTTCCTTTTACATTTGGATTTTTTCTTAAATTTCTCAATTTGTGAAAAAACTCTAATGACTTTGGGTATGCAATTGGACTATTCATATGCTTTTAATGAGAGTCATTACTATGAAATAATCATATACAATGGTGCTATGAAGAACTTCTTCAATGGCAGAAAGCAAAAAAACAAAAAAAAAGAGTCACGAATTTAACGCTTTTGAAAGTTTCAATACAAATTAAAGTACTTCAACCAGTGATTTTCTTCAATTCTCTAAATTTTCTCTCTGAAAAAAACTCTATTCTTCGATTCGATTGTGAGAATGAATTATTTACTTACTTCGAATATATCGGAACCTCAACCGGACTATAGATTTGCTTTTAATAATAGAAATTACTCAGATTGAGTGTTGATGATAGAGGGAGTACCAGATTTGATGGAGCTCAAACCAGAAGGCTGTTGCAATGTTGATGATTCAGCGTGGAAAGGCAAGCGTAAGAGAGAAGAAATCAAAACAAGAAGAAATGGTTTGTTTTTCTTAATTTTGAATTAGGTTTTAGTTGCATTTTTTTTTCATTTTTGCGTACATTTTTTGTGTGAGAAGAAAAAAAAAATCACGAAATTCTTGCCTTTTTGAATGCTTGATGATTTTATTTTATGTAAAAGATTTTTGCTTTTAAATCGAAGAAAATGATTAGGTTATTCTATATAAGTGTTCAACATCTTTTAATTTTATTTAAATAAGAAAATACAAATACTTCAAAATATATATCATCTTCTCCACCTTTTCAAACAAAAATCAAGTTGGTTGATTAATGCTTCTTACCATTTTATCATAAAATTCGACAATTTCTTCATTATCAACAATCAAAATTTAAAAAAAAACAACACAAAATACCTTTAATCTTGACTTAGAAACATCAAATTGCACAACCTGACACAAAATTATAAAAAATTAAAGTTTTTCATATAAAAATATAAGTACTGTCATGATAATGGAGTTTTTGACATTATTAAAGTATGTACTCACCGCTTTTCTATTCATTTTTGCTTTTTCTTCTTCTTTTGTATCTACTTTCTTGAATAACCATTCCAGATCTGACACAAACACCAATCTTAAAGGAGAGGAGGATGAGAAAAAAAAAGTAAAAGAAACTATAAGGTGAAAGTAGTTCAGAAAAAAAGGAAGAAGGGTGGAGGGGGATGGATTGTTAGAGTGGAGAATGATTGTCGTTAATGATAGATACAAATAAAGAGTCATGGTGATTTAAAGTGAAGATAAGAAAATGGTGTGAAAAGAAAGAGGAAGGTTGGTGAAACTTTTTTTTTAAAAAAAAAAAATTATTTTATAACTAATTAAATAGTCTTAAAAATAAATTCTTACTCACAATATTTTTTTTTGGTCTATATGTAACATATCTTTATTTAATTCATCCTTTTTACACATCATCATCAAAGAGTATAACATACTCTCTTTAAAAAAAATTGTTAATTGTTTAAAAAAAGTGTCAAAATGACATAATAAAATCTTACCATAGGTGTCTGTCTAGAATGAACAAATTTTAATTGAGATGTTTATGTGAAAATTTGTGCCAAATTTAGAAGGCTACAGATGAATTCCGCCATTTTCAATAGAAAGGGTTTATAACATCTTTTAGTCCATAAATTTTTGGTTTCTAATCATAGATGTGAAAACAATTTTTTTCACTTGAAAATTTGTTTGTGGTTGATGAATGAAAAAGGTAAGTTTATCAATCCAAATGGAGTGGAAGAAATGTAGAAGATTCATATTAGACTTGAGTTATAGAAGTCGTGGTTATGTGAAAGACAATTTACGAATTTAGGGTTTTTTTTCCCTTATGTGGTATGTGGTTGCATTTTCTTTGCAAATACATTATTTATCTTTAGTTTCTTCACTTGGTTTTTCCTAATTATTTCATTCTATATGTTTATTATCTCTTTCACTTTATAAAAAACGCGAAGAAACAGCTACAGGAACGCTAGAGAAATTGCCAACTGACATTTTGATGACTAGAATTCGTCCTCTTAATGTGAGAAAGATAAATATCAGTTCTCCTATTCTTGCTGCCAAAAGTAATTTCTTTCTTAAGGTGAGAGAATACAGTACATTTGTTGTTTTTTTCAATTGACATTCCTTTGTTATTTGATTTCAACTATTTGTTTTCTTATTAATTAGTTGTTCTCGAATGGAACGGAAGAGCAACAGTATGTAATTATGCAAATTCACGAGTTTTTTGTTGATTGAATGAAGTAATAAAACTAATGTGCGTTTTATTGAGCAGAAGAAGCGGCTGTGATGGAGGTTTATATATTGCAATAGCTTATCAAGTAAAACAGCAAGTGGTCTTGTGGATGTGCTGATGGCGGCTGATAAGTTTGAGGTGGCGTCTTGCATGAGATACTGCAGCAAACAACTGCAGAATCAACACGTGACAACTGAAACAGCATTGCGCTATTTGGATCTTCCTTCCAAAGTAGTAAATGTTGATGCAGTTCAGCCATTAGCAGATGCGGCTAAACTCTTTATTATCCTCCGTTTCAGGGACATAAACAAGTAAGTATCCTTTTAACTACTAAATAGCTAGAGAGTATGAATGATTTGCATTTTTCTTTTTCAGGTTTGAAAACGAGGCATTGAGTTTGCCTCTTTCTGGAATTAAGGTTGTTTTGTCCAGTGATCTTCTTCAAATTGCATCAGAGGATGCTGTCTATGATTTTGCGTTGAAGTGGGCTCGTATGCATTACCCTAAATTTGAGGATCGAAGACATGTATGGACCTCACATCTTTGTTTCCTCATTCGATTTCCAGCCATGACATGCACCAAGCTGAAGGAAATCATGACGTGCAATGACTTTGGTTCGGAGCTTGCTTCAAAGTTTGTCTTCGAGGCTCTTTATTACAAGGCCGAAGAACCTTATCAGCAGCGTGCAATGGCTGCCTATTGGGTAGACAAGAGCTTTTCCTGTCCGCACATTGCAACCTAGACCAACAAGGCGTTGAACATTGCTTGGGGTTGTTCCTCGGTATGCAAGGGGAAGAGTCTGAGCCAATTGCACTGGATTACGAGTTTTCAGTGCGTTTGAGACCAGACAACGAATTTCTCAGCATGTACAAGGGAAGCCAATTGCACTGGATTACGAGTTTTCAGTGCGTTTAAATAATGGCATCGTCCTGGGGTGTCGCAACCTTTGTGATATAAGTTGGACCCCTTTTCTCAATGAAGATAGTTTGTATTTCATCAACGGAGTTCTCCATATTCGTGCTGAGATTAGTGTGATCAGGGAATGAATTATTTGCAAATTAGTAAAATCAGACTTGTTTAGTAGTTCTAGTGACTTTGGATGTGCGTATTTAAGTAGTTTCTATAACGTTCCATCTATGCTTCAAATTCTGTGGATACTATTTCTGCATACAAAGTAAATGTTAGTTTTTAATGTTAACATTCTCTTTAACTTTTGCTATGTATTATGATGCACACTCTACTCTCCAGGAGGATCACCAGTGTTCTCACTTACTATCCAGCATGTCGGCTATCAAGTATTATACAAATAACAAACATAAAATTAAAAAGAGAAATATAAAAGTTTAGTCTTGCAGTCTTTCATTTAGTGCGTCTCTGAGCTCTCTTCTTTGGCCTTCTGATCATTTTCTTGAAAAATATGCCTTTCAGAAACATTCTATCTTACGACATTTAAACAGTAGTAGTAAAATATATACTTTTTTTTAGTATATATTTTTTCGATTGTTATTTTTTATTAAGAAGATGAATGTGAGGATCCATAGTTTGGGTCATTTTATTGAGATTAGCTACTTTTCTCTCGAGTCTCGACCTATAGATGCATCGGTGGATATGTGTAAAGTTAAGGTAAGTGAAAAGTTAACAAAAGTGGGCATGCAACCTTAGACCTAAAATTACATGCAAGGAAGTTATTTTCAAAGACCAATAAATTGATCTTCTAAATTTTTATTTTATTTTATGCAGTATGATGGTTATATAATAACGTGAACTTAAACGAAGAAGTGGAGATTGTATAGCCAACCTCAACTCGTTTGAGACTGAAGCGTCATTATTCTTGTTATAGCTGATTTTGTGTTTTTAAAGTTTTACTTGTAGAGTGCATTTCAACAGGTGTTAGTACATAATATTCATGGCCACCTTCGGCATCTTTTTTCTTCTTTAGTTGAACTTGTGTTTAGGATATTTTATAAAATCTTAGAAATTATGTAATACCTCTAATCCTATAACCCCGTTATGTCACGATTTTTTAAGTTCATGACATGTATTATCTTTTCTAGGAACACACATTTTTCTTTCGAGCTATGCAACATTGTGCTCGAAAAGTGACATATGATCCACCTTGCACTCATATTTTAATTTTTCGGTTGTTACATCTTTGTGTTTAGTAGATTCTTAAGCTTAATTTTCAGGTGTTTAACATATTTTTGTGTTGAAAATTCCTTTTTGGTTAATGGATGAAAAAAGGTAAGCTTTCCAATCTAATGGAGTGGAACTAATGCCGATCTTTGCTTTTAAACAAAAGAAAACAATTAGGTCTTTGATTCTGCACAAGATTTTAACATCTTTTTGCCTTAAATTGTTTTCATGAATAAAAATAATAATAATTTAACTATAAATTGTTTTCAGTGTTAGAGTTAAACACCTAAAAAAAGGTAAGTTTATCAATCCAAATGGAGTGGAAGTAATATAGATGACTCTAAGCTACAATGAGCTCTGAAGAAATGACATGGCGAAAAAAAATAAAACGTCATAAAATTAATGCTTTAGCAAATTTTGATAGAAATTGGATAGTTGGAACAATAAAGAAAACAAGACGAAGAAGAAAACAGATTAGAAGAACATAAATTAGTAGACCAAATTTTTGAGTAGTAACTGATTTTGTGATTTGGCATAAATACAAAAAAAAACATATTTGAAATACGCAGTGTTATCTCAATTTGGTCTTCCTTTTACATTTGGTTTTTTTCTTAAATTTCTCAATTTGTGAAAAAACTCTAATGACTTTGGGTATGCAATTGGACTATTCATCTGCTTTTAATGAGTCATTACTATGAAATAATCATATACAATGGTGCTATAGAAGTTCCATCATTTTGACTTGTGAATGCAATGATTTATTAATGTGTAGTTTAGTATTAATTGATAACTGGAAAACAAAAAAAAACATAACGCGTCGTATAAGCGCGAATTAAATGTATATAACTTAAAATTCTTATTAATGAGTTCCATATTGGTTACTCATATGTATGTCAACATGTTGAGAATGTGACCAATATTCATCAACAAGCTGTCCAAATAATGAACTTTCTTTATTCATAAGTTTCATTGGCTTATCATACTCTACCAGCTTCCCTGTAAAACAAATATTTCATGTTAATATAATATTTTTCGTTGTATCGAAAAAGAACCTTGATGAAGTAAGTAAATATTCTGTTGAATCTTACCATCACTTATAGCAAGAACCATAGTGCAATCCATTACTGTTGGGATTCTGTGAGCTACAGTTATGACTGTGCAATCCTCAAATTCTGTCCTAATTGTTTTTTGAATTATTGAATCTGTTGTATTGTCAATTGATGCTGTTGCTTCATCAAGAACTAATATTTTTCTTCTTTTTAATAATGCTCTTCCAAGACAAAATAACTGTCTTTGTCCCATGCTCCAATTTGATCCATCTTGTGACACTATATGTAGTACTTTTGATTGTTAGTACTACATAACTTTTACTATGTTGCTCGGGATCATCAAAAATGTTGTTACCAACCGTGTCATGAGGAGGAGATCAGACACGAACATGGTGACATTTTTTGAAGAGTCTGAGCAGAGGATTTTAAGTTATCATCATGATTACCTGAGGAGTATAGTCTTCCTTCTTTCTGTTGAACAACGTCTTGAAGTTGACATTTCCTCAAAACCTTGCACACATGATGATAAACAGAAATAAGTGTTTGAAATTGATTTTATAAATAAATAGTTATATATGTCAGGATAGAAGTGTTGAACGTGATAATACAAAGTTAATGCGTTTGGTAGAAAGTGCCGATAACACTTCTGTTTAGAGCGACAGAAACGCCTTTTACATTGAAAATAAGGACGAACAACAGAAATGGAATGGAGGGGGTTAGGAGTTTTGTCTTGAAAAGTACTTATGAGTTGGTATTCGTATAACGCGAGTTATCTCTATAAGGTAATTTTGCAGCATAATGAAATTTTTTGACAATGTTTTTAAGGAAATGTTACCTCCCATATCTCCTGATCAGTGTGCTCTGACAGTGGATCAAGATTGTATCTGACAGTTCCGCTAAAAAGCGTGGGATCTTGTGGAATGATTGATAAAGAAGATCGAAGATCATGAATCCCGATTGTTGAGATGTTTATGCCATCTATGATGATCATTCCTTCTGTTGGTTCTACCAAGCGAAACAAGGCACTGATAAGAGTTGTTTTCCCACTACCTGTCCTGCCAACAATTCCAACTTTATATCCACCTTCAATGGTGCAGCTAATGCCTTGTAGAACAAGTGGAGCAGTCGGTTGATATCTGACCTGGAATACAAATCACGTATGATCTATGGTCTACATCGATGAATAAATGAATATCGATAACTAAGGAGCTAGGATACTAACCTTTAAATCAACAATCTCCACTTTACCAATGGAAGGCCAAGAGGGATCAGGTCTATTGTCTTGTAAAAATTCAGTGTGTTCGCTAGGAATATGCATGTATTGCTCTAATCTTTCTACTGAAATAATGGCGTTTTCTAGCATGCATTGGGTTTGGACCGAAGCAACTAGGAACACGTTCAATGAAAGAGCATACGATAGAGCCATGCCAATATATCCTGAAAATCAAATACAAAGTCTTAGTATATGAACCAAACTTCATTTTATTATGTAATGAATTTCATTACCTGAGTCAGAAGCTTCAAAGGGAAGTAAAACCATGGCTAAGGCTGAGGATGAGAGAACTATGGCGCAGAGTATTTCTAGTCGTTGGATCAACCACTCAGTTGCTGAAAAGCTGTGGAAAAATGCAATTGCATTTCTATCAACAAGTTGTAGATATTCTGTGCAAAAACGATCCTCCTCCTCGAAAGCTCTGATGGTCATTGCTCCCGCTATGGCTTCAGCAAGATGGCTAGCAACAGCTGACTTTGTTGTGCCATCAATTCTCATGAGTTCCTTTGCTGAAGCAAAATAGAATCTCTATGCAGAAAAATAAAACAGTGGGACTAAAAAGTTGAGCAGGTAGTCGATATAAGGACTAGTAACGAACAGAGGCGGAGCTAGGATTTTCAATAAGGAGGTTCAAAATCCGTAGAAATAGATACCAGAAGGGGGTTCGAATACTCTATATATATATATAAACTTATTTTAACCATGCATAAATAATATAATTTTTCGCCGAAGTGGGTTCGGATGAACCCCCTTGTATGAAGGTAGCTCCGCCCCCGGTAACGAATCATGAGTAGTTAATATGCTCGCCTGTAATATCACTGTCATATAAATCATCGGTATAATGATAATCAAGATTGGCCAGGTGAGAGCAGCCAATATTCCTAAGCTGAAGTATGTGGTCAAGGTTGAGGATGCAGCCTGACTGAATCGAAATGACAAGTCGAGATCCAAAACACTGAGGTCTGAAGACAACTGCAAAACAAGATTATGTTAGTTTTATATATACTGTCAAGCATTGTTGTCATAGGCTAGCTTAGGTTGTCATTTCTTACCCGACTAAGTATTCTTCCGAGTGGTGTTGAGTCGTAAAATGACATTGGTGCTCGGAATATAGACGTTAGTAACTTAGCAAAAATAGATTTTGAAGACTTGAGGCCTAAATTAATCACTACATAGGACCTAAATAACAAGGTTACCGACATACCAAAACCTATGGATGAGTATATTAGGATGAGACTCAATTTGCTGGTTCTTGAACTCTGTAAATCAGCAGCTAACAAAAGATTTTGTCCTAGCTGGCCAACCATATATAGGAGGTGTGAAAATATAACCAAAAGGAAGTAAAAAAGGCCGTTGCTTTCGCCAAGATATTGTTTATACGGCTTAAGACCGGTGTATCCTGTTTCTCGTTCTTCTTGCTTGATCAACTGTTCACCAACAGGTGTTATCAGCTGTTCTTCCGCACACAATGGATGAATATTTTCTACTGAGCTTTTGGTCCTTTGTTGTGGAGAACACCCTCGATTACTCTCACTTTTAATCGCCTCATCATGTGCATGAATGAGGTTTTGAAACTCTTCACAAGAAAGAAGCAACTGATCAAAAGAAGCTGACTGTATGATGTTTCCTTCAGACATTAGCTAATGACAAAATAGAACTCTGTTAGATCACGTACTTGTATAAAATCTGCTAAAATAAGTCGGCACACAAGCTCATCGAAATGAATGCAGAATAGATTACTAACCAATATTGAATCAAATGTAGGAAGGAAATCTACTTGATGAGTCACAAGCAAGACTGTCTTTCCAGAAAGAGCTCCCATGACATATTCCTGATAATATGAGATTCAAAGTAAGTTATCTTATAAAATGCTTTTCCGATCTCTAGTTTGTCGAGATAAATGTTCTTACATTAAATAGACAGGTTGAGGTATAAGCATCAACTGCGCTGAATGGATCGTCCAATAGATATATGTCTGCATCTTGATACAGTGCACGTGCTAGCTGAACTCGCTGCTTCTGTCCACCACTGAGGTTAACCCCTCTTTCTCCAATAATTGTTTGGTCACCAAAAGGAAACATGTCAAGGTCCTTGACAAGAGAACACCTTTCAAGTACTTCTTGGTATTTGATTCGATCCACTGTGGAACCAAAAAGTATGTTCTCTCTTATTGTTCCTGTCTGAATCCATGCATTCTGAGAGACGTATGCCACCGTTCCATGAACTTGAACCTGAAAATTGAGAAGCCAATGAAACAGGTTTTTAGCATTTGCTGATATCCAGTATTACACAAAAATAAAATGACAGTTAAAAGAGAATGAGAAGTTGACGTGAAAACTTACCAAGCCATCAACGTATGGTACCTCTCCGAGAATTGCAGCTAAAAGAGTCGATTTACCAGAACCAACCTCTCCGCAGATAGCTAGCTTTTGCCCTTGTTTGACATGAAGGTTTACACTTTTCACTGCAGGATTATGTGAACTTGCATCCCATGATATCCCTTTGGACTTGATGATTATAGAATGCTCAAGTTGCTTTCCCTGGTACTTCTGCTCTGTACGTCTGTTTTGCAACTCCGGAGCCTCAAGAAATTCCACAATTCGAGATAACGAGACTTTTGCTTCTATGAATACTCCAAGAATATCAGGAACTGACCTAACAGGTTCCTGGACAATGCGTAAAGTGGCAAGGAATGTGAAGACATTAGTGGTATTAAGAGGGACTTTGAGTAAGTAGCAAGAACAGAAAGTAACCGCAGATACTATAATTGGCGTTGACCAAAACAAAACCAGGTAATAGCCTTTCTGCATCTGCACTGCTGATAGCCATCGGTATTCGTCTTCTCTTAGCTTTTCAATTGCATTCTTAAAATGCTTCTCCCACGCGTATAACTTCAACACTTTCATACTAGTAAGAGCTTCAGTTATGGCCCTTAGCATTCTGTCTTGTGCAATCATAAGCTCTGTCAAGTACTTGTGCTGTGATTTAGCAACCGGAGAATTTCCTAGCACACTTGCTACAACTAATAGTAGCGCTGGTATGGTAGCCAATCCCACAGCATAATACATTATGACTAGTGCAATGCATACCTGAACACCCGTTGTCCATATTTGATGACACCAATATGGAAATTCACCAACTTTAAAGGTATCAACTGTGGCATAGTTTATTATCTCACCAGGTGAGTGAGTATTCTTAGCAGTGTTTGAAAGACGGAGTTGCTTATTGTATATAGCTGCAGTTAACAAGGATTTAACTTGAAGACCGATTAATCTAGTCCTGAAAAACCATTGCCTCTCTGCTAATGATTCTATGCATTTAGCGATAAGGATTCCCCCGGCTAACACATAACCTTCATATTTGAAAGCTCCATTTCCTTTAGCAAGTTCAATGAAGGCATAAAGAAACAAGGGCCCTATTGACACAGTCACCGTCTTAATCAGCGCGAACAATCCAGATACCACAATGGCTTTCCATTGACAGCAGACTATTGCTGAAAATACAGAAGGCCGAGCATTTGAAATGTTTTGCTTTCTTTTATTTACTTGCTCCTTAAACAACGAGTACAACGTCCCAACTTGATCCTCCGGCCTCAACTCTGGAATGTCCTCATCATTGAGAGTTTTCTCCTTGCCCTTCTTCAGTAAATCATTCAACCAGCAAAATGACATTCTACTAAATATTCCAGCTTTGGCAAATGGAGTTGTTTTCTCATTCGATTCAACTTTACCACAGGCATTATCGGCTTCTTCTCCCAGAAGAGTTTCACAAGTGCTTATATCCCGTTGGCCTTTGGATGCAGAAACGGTCACTAAAACCACTCCTAGTAGTGGTAGCATGTCCAAGACTGATTTTGTGTACACTACATTCTCTATGATTACTTGCCATACGGATGAAATACAAAGAAATGCTGCTAGTAAGCTTGCAAGAAAAACACACAGCTTCCCTGGTGAAGAAGTATACTGCTTCTTGTAAATGGAAAGTAAACTCAGCAGCAACCACGTGAGCCCTTGTGACAACGGAACCAGCCATTGATGTAGCGGTAGAACAGTTTGTTGAGCGATGAGTTTCTGCAAAACTTTCCATGTCCCAAAACTCAAGTATGCTAAAGCTAAACTGCCATTGAAAATGTACGAACAACCTGACAAGATAGAATTGCCTTGGAACTCAGAGGACGCCACGCTCTTTCGTGATGAGAACTTGGTAGAAAAGAGGAAAACAAGAATCATCAGAAGCAGGATATTTGCAAAAATGATCAATATATGACTGGTGCATGAAAATGTATCAAGAAAAGTTGAACTGCAACTCTCTCCAGCCTTTTGTGAACACTCATACTTCCCACAGAAAACCAGCCAGAGATCCATCATTTTATGTCCCTGATCCAAGTAAGAGTATCAAAAGAAGAAAGATAATAGGAAAGGTTCATTGGATTTTCACAACGACGACAACTATAACTACTATGCAAGTGAGTCAACGGCTATATGAATCCTCACTGACCGTGCTACTCCATTTAAGCTTGTTTCACTCCTGTATTATACAATTTTTCATGTTCAGACTTTAAAGAAAAAAATCCCGGAAACAACTATCAAGAAACAGTCAGTTCAGAAATAAAATCACCTTTTGATTGCAAGACGCCAACAGCTGAAAGTGCAAATCATTACTCTTTCAAAGCTGGTGCATTCTAAAAGGCATAATACTTTAACTTGGCCTCAGCCAATTAAACACTCCAGCTTTGAGTACGCACGTCTAGACACCTCAACTCATCTCCACTGCGTCATAAGTTAAAACACTCCAATTTTCAAAATGATCATCTAGACACCTCCAAATTTACGTGTCACATCAGCATAGGGTGTCCACAAGACACATCGGAGATGAATTTAGAGTTTTAGTTGTTAGTTGAGATGTCTAAATGTGCACTCTCAAAGTTGGAGTATTAGTCCGAGTTTGAGTGTCTGTTTAAAATGTACAAATGGAGCATCTTTAAATGTACAAGACATCAAAAAATCCAATAAAGAGCATCTACTTTAATCAAATAAGGTCCCACTTTCAGACAAAAGGGAAAACATATCATAAACAAGCATTTCCATTATTGGGAAGATCTTTTTGCTTTTGTTCACCATTTCTCTGCCTTAGACCTTTTAACTTACGGATTCAGCAGAACTCAATAACTTTAGTCTAAACTCTATAATATCGTAAAATATTCATCAAAATATACAAATTTTAAAACTCACTAACTCAGAAAAGACTATAATCCCGAACTCATAAACTTCAAATCCTGACTCCATTTCTAACCACTGTAGGTTGTAAGGACAAGTACTAGTGCAATACACCCTAAAAGCACTAATCTTTGAACTTAAAAGTGAACAAAACACATTAACATAACTAGCTAAAGTATATCAAATCAAGAAAAGAAAGTAATAAAATCAAAAGCATTGGAATTTACCTTTCTTGTATACACGTCTCAAGCTATGAGAATTTCCTACAATGTTCGTGAAAAAATATTTTTCGTAAGATTTCCAACAATGTCAGCTCCAAGAACAATCTTTTTTTTTATCCCCTCAACTTCAATGAATTTTTAAAGTAGTTTGTGTGTACACTATAATATAACTACATTCTTGTTTGTTAAATACCATATTTGTATAAAAGTGTACTAATATTATGTTCTGGTAATTGTTAAAATATGGCAAAAATACCAAAAGTGTAAACTTGGGAAGTTTCATTACTATGATTGTTATTTTTTTCACACAAATTTCAACCACTAACACTTGATGATATTTTATCTTTTTGTGCTTTTTGATAGTATAATATAAAGTTTTTGTCTGTTACAAAGAATACATTTGTTGAAAAAGAAAGGGGTAGAAGCCAAAAATCTTTGTTTGCTTTAAATTTGTAAATTATTCTTAAAAAAGAATGGGTTGTTAGAGAATCAGATGCTATTAGACAAAAAGTATATTCATATTTACATCAAGAATTCAAGATAAAAGAGTAAGTTTATATCAGTTTTGAAATCTTAATTTGAAGTTGACGTTTTGTTTGAATATATAATTTAAATTTTTTAAGTTATATTTTTTTCATAAATATAAAAATAGAGATAATAATAAAACAAAGTCTTGTTAAGATTTTGATCCGTCCTATTCGTCCCATGCATACATGCATTCTTCAAACTTTTTGAAATAAATTAAGATAACAAAAGTTAAATTTAAAGTATTAACCACAAATTGAAAAAAATAAATAATAATAATAATAATAATATTAAAAAAAATCTGCCTTTTGCAGTCTGCTACAAATTAAAAACTGAAATATTTTGGTCTGCCCCCGACCCATTATGATTTTAACTTATCGTAAAAACCTTACGAGTTGTGAAAAATATCAAACAAAATTTAATTTTTTTCATAAATTTAATGAATGAGCAAATGGTATTCATAAACAAAATGCCAGTACATAATTGTATAGGGATTCATTAATCAACAAAAATAATAAGTAACATAATTTTATCATATGATATAAATAATATCTTCGAGTCGAGAATTAATTTCTTTTTTTTTATAAAGTTTTAATTCTTAGTCTTTCTTTACCAATATTAACTTAGAGGTCGTTTGATAAATATATAAAAAAATATTTTTATGAATATATTAAAGACGGTAGAACTTATACGACATTTGATAAATATATAAAAAAATTAATCATATACATAATAGATTGAAAAAATAAAATATATATATAGGGGTAGGACAAGTATTTTATTTTTTCAATTTATCTCAAGAGAAAGAGGGTCCCAACACACAATCATGAAATTAAAGTTTTGCTTATTTCAAAAATTAAATTAAATACACCAAAATGCTGTGATATTGAGTAGACTACACGTTGCACTGTCTTTTTTTTTTGGACAGTTGGTGAACGTCAGAGCAACTTGTTTTTGTTAATGCTCCGTCTATTTTTAATTGTTATCATTGTGTTTATAGTATCAAATAATAATAACTTTAATTAATATTTTATAGCGTATGTTTTAATCATATTAATTTGAAAAAAAAGTTAAAATTTATAGTACTTTCTAGTTTTTATTTTTAAAATATCAAATTTATATAAGTTATATTTTGATTTAAAAATTAATTAAAAAACATAATATAACAATTAAAAATGAACAATACATTAAGCGCATACTAGGACTGAGTTATAGTCAACAACTCGAACACAAAACTGTCGAGTGAAGTCAAGTGATAATCAACCAAACAATGGAGAAGAACAAAAGCTATGACCATACAATCTTTTAATTGTTGTTCAGTGTAAAAGAGTTCAATATAGAGTATTATACAGCAAAATTGTTTTACTTCTACTCAAATAAATAGAGGCAAAGGTTTCTACAATGCCAAAAAAAGGATTGCTCATTCTTAGTCAAAATTCTATCAACATTCTATTCTAACAGCACCACTTTGAGATGAAATAAATTTGGGTTTTCTATTGACTTGCTCCAAGCATTGGATGACATCTCCAACCTTGAAGTCATCCCAGTTTTGAATGACAAGTCCACATTCATTCCCCTTTCCAACTGCTTCAACATCCTGCTTCTCACGCTTTAACGATGCACAACATCCTTCGAAAACAACCTCACCACTTCTAAGAAGCCTCATTGTTGATGATCTGATGAGTCTGCCATCTATCACACGACAACCAGCTATCTTGACGTCCTCTCCCTTAGCTTTGCTTCTTCCTTTAAGCTCAAATATGCTCAGTATCTGTGCCTCACCTGAAACCTGTGTCTCAAATGTACCGGGGGCTTTTTCAACAATTGAGTTGCCAATATCCTCTAGAAGATGATAGATCACACGATGGATTTTTATCTGCGACAGAATCATAATAAGTATGAGCTTAACGTTTTCAGCGTGTACTAGGAGCATCACAGTGACCACATTAAGTATTGACCAGAAAAAGCACCTTAATGCCAGCTTTGTTTGCTGCTTGACTTATTGAACCAGGTGGAGTTGGTATGCTGAACCCAACAATAAATGCACCACAAGCTTGTGCTAAGTCCACGTCGGACTCAGAAATAGGCCCAACACCTCCATGGACAATATTCACGAAAACCTATAAAAAGGGCAATTTTCACAATTTTGAAACTGAAGTTTCTCTAGGAAGTATGAAAAATGAGGATGAACACTAAAATAGAGCTGATCAATGCATCTGAAACACTACTATTTGTCTCACCTGAGAACTATCCAAACTCTTCAATGCGTCTGTAACGGCTTGGACAGTTCCCTGAACATCTGCTTTTACTATTATTGTCATTTCAACCCTCTTGGGCTTCTCTTCAACCTCACCTTCTTCATCTTCTAAATTAGATTCTGACACTAGAGCTCCTAATTTTTCTGCGTCCATCTTCCTCCCAAGTCTATCTTTTTCAAATTTCTTTTTCCTCCCAGCGCTAAGCATCCTTGCCCTTTCCTCAGTGTGAACGACAATAATGTCATCACCAGCCATTGGAAGCCCCTTGAGTCCTTCGATCTCTACAGGCATAGCTGGCCTAGCCCTATCAGTTGATTTTCCTAGCATATCCCTAATAGCCCTGATTTTTCCCCACTCGGCACCTACAACAACATGCTGACCACAGACAAGGGTCCCTGCTTTCACTATTGCAGTAGCCAATGGACCCCGTCCTCTATCAACCCTAGCCTCGACGACATAAGCTTGGGCTGGTCCATCTACACGTGATTTCAGATCCATCATCTCAGCCTGGAGAAGCAACGCCTCCTCCAGCTTATCCAATCCAGTTTTTGTTACAGCAGAGACTTCAACAACCTGAATATCTCCACCCATCTCCTCCAGAGCCAACCCTTCTGTTGCAAGCTGGATTTTCACTTTTTCAGGATTTGCTGCCGGCTTATCACATTTATTGACAGCGACAACGATTGGAACATCAGCTGCTTTTGCATGGGACATTGCTTCCAGCGTTTGTGGCATAACACCGTCATCAGCAGCCACTACCAATACAACAATGTCAGTAACCGCTGCACCTCTTTGTCGCATAGCGCTAAATGCCGCATGACCAGGAGTGTCAAGGAACGTGATAGATGCCCCAGAAGACATTCCAACAACAAATGCTCCCAAATGCTGAGTTATGCCTCCAGCTTCCTTAGCAGCCACAGAAGTCAGACGTAGAGCATCTAAAAGGGATGTTTTACCATGATCAACATGACCCATCACTGTGACCACAGGTGGACGTGGAAGGACTTCAGCACCTTCGTTAGAATGCAGCCTTCTAACATTCACTCCAATTTCCTGCAAAGGGAACAAGAAAACATTTATTTTAGTCCATATCCACAGATAGCATCCTGCTTGGAAGGTCAGACACTCAAATTGAAAAACAGAAAGGAAAAACAATTGCTTTACCATCGCAACAAGCTCAGAAATATCGATGCTAAGAGGATCATATTCTGAGTCAACCTTCTCCCCCACATTTTTAAGGATATCCTGCACGACAGGTATTGACACGCCACAACGTTTGGCCAGCTCAACAATTGTCATGCCCTCGAATATCTCTACAGTTCTATCTGATAAGGAGGAGCTAGCAGTTTTTTTAAGCTTGGGAGGGACATAAGGAGCTTCAACGGGTGGTGAGGAATCCTTTGTCCTTTTCTTGAACTTCCCTTTCTTCTGTATCTTCAAACCCAAAGCTTCTGGTTCTTTTTTCCAAGCCAGTGTTTCTGGACTGGCATGAAAACACCTGGAGGAAAAAAAAACTATATTATCTCTATTACGTCAACCAAAAGGTAACACTGTTAGGTTTTTCAGGCTGCCCACATTCTTTAACTTAACTCTATCATGCTGCCTATGATCTTAAATTTCACCTTTCATTGTTTAGATAAACCCTCAGAGAAGAAACCACTGTGCAAATTTATCCTTATTTTCTTTGGAGTGTTATAAAAGAAGTGCAATTAACTTTAAGGGAAAAATAACAGCTCACCATTGGCAACCAACTTGACCACTTTAGAAGTAACATTATTCGGTTCTGCCAAACTTATTACTTAACCATGGCAAACCACTAACTGAAGAAAAAAACACATCTCCACACAATGTCAACGAAAATTTATTTAAACTTAACCATGGCAAACCCCCAACTGAAAAAGAGCAGGCCAAAGATGTCGTGTATTCTCTAAAGATGTAGTGAAGTCTCTTTCTTTATTACTATCCATTGCCTGTTGTTTGAAATTATTGATTAAAAAACCTGGCTAAACCTTTTATTCTTGCATAAAAGTTTCCACTCAAATTGATGCTTAACAGCTACCTCCTGAGTTGCATAAGTCTTAATTCCTGAGTTTCATTATTCAGCAGGCACTCTATTTCAAGATTTAACCTCTTCACTGAAATTCTTATTACTGGACAATGCAGGTAGCATCCACCACTTTTTTGGTAAGTCTTTTGGTACAGGAGTGCTAAATTATACTCTTATGCATTTTGCTGAAAGGGAACTGTTAAAGCATTTTGTTTGCCAATAATGATTCCCTCCATTGCACCACCTAGCCAATAATGATTCCCTTCATTGCACCGCCTAGCTGTAAACTTTTTCTTTTAAGTGTTCAAAAATTTTGTTACACTAATGTAATTTTCTCTTATTGATTTGCCTGTTTGATAGCTGTGATAATAGACTACTAACGGAAATCTGCAAACCAAAAACTTTTCAAAGATAAAACTTTGTGCTTGCTTCAAATATAGTTTTTTCACACACCAATTTCTTCTCACATAATCCTCCCCCTTTTCAACCACACAGAGAGAAGAAAAGCATTCAAGAAACCAGCAATTGTAGAATGAAATGGTTGAAAGATCATTCCCTTCAGCATCTGAAAGGGATTTCCTTCAACAGGAAAAACTGGAAGCACTAGAGTGTTCTTCTAGCAAATTAGTAAGAGATCTCCACTTGAGCACAACATAATTTTGAAGAACAACATAATTAGCAAATGGTTGATAGAACTCTTTCCGAACCAACATGTTCATTATGAAAAGCAAAAAGTTATTTCTGACCCATCTTTTAACTTCTTAGGGATTCAAGTTCTTTAGCTTGTGGAAAATGTCTAATCCTCATTTTGGCTGAAACTGAAAGGTAAAGGTCTTTCCGAAACAGCCTCTCTACCTCAACAAGGTAGGGGGGGCAAGATCTGCATTTATTCTACCCTCCTCAAACCCCATTTATGGGATCACACTAATTATGTTATTGTTGTTGAGAAGATAAAGTTCTTTGAGAAGCACTAGAATGTTCTTCTAGCTACTTTCTGCCACAGTTCAATACAACATAAAATTAGAATCTTGAACATCAGCACTTGCCTCATTTTTTAAAGGAAAAAGATTCTCTTTGCATTCTAAAGCAGTTGGGTGTTATGTAACTTACCATTAGTCATTACTCAATATGCAACAAGATTCAAGATTTTTATTTAGTGAATTTATTCATCTAATTCTATATTTCTTAGAACACAACTTATCATCAGAATGATGTCACTTACTTCTATAAATGAATCAACCAAAAAATCCCTGGGAAAGTTAAAGTAAAGTTGTGGACTTCACCTTATTGAAGTTCTGTAAGTTAGGAAGTTGGTACAGTTCGACTTCCATTGAGCTGCTATCAGAAAGCATCCTGCAATATAAAGGGAAAATATATGATACATGCCTGTACATCATCTGAAGCCATGTTCTCATTTAATTTCAGCTCTCAGAAAATATAGCCAAGAATTAGAAAATAAGAAGCATGTCACCCAGATGTAGCACGAATAATCGGCCTTATAAAACTAAAACTTTTGTATTTCAAGGGGCGTGGAAAAAAAAACACAACGTCTACAAGCAGCGGACAAGAACTAGAATTATTTGCCTCTCCTCCTGTACCAAAAACCAAGTTCAGAAAAATAGGGAAGATGATGAGCTCGCAACCCATCTGAGTTAGAAAATCACCAAACAAACTATTCAAAGGATGATGATTAAGCACAATGTTTAATATAAACAAATGAAATTTAGTGCAGACCTTGTACTGAAGATGGTTAATATAAACAAATGAATAAGTGCAGGCCTTGTACATGAAGAAATCAAGAATAACGAATGTACAGACCTTGTATTTGTCCAGCCAAAACTGGAATTTTTCTCTGCACGTCTTCAAGGTTAGATTTGGAAACTGATGCTGCAGTATACCTGGATCTTACTGCCAATGCCTTTGTAAGACTAGTGAAGGTACCCTGCAGAAACACTCCATGTAAAAGTCTGCATAGAACTACCTCGAAAGCACAGTAACTAGGCAAAGAGGGAGTCTCAACAATGGCATAGTAGAATACATAATATGTAGACAGGGGTGGACAGATTTGTGCATTGGCGGACACGAGAGACAAATCAGATAATATCGGGTGGTAGCTTTTCAATAGAAGTGATTAACCAACTTATATTTGCTCAATGCAGAGCACAACAGCACATATTTTGGGAATTCATTTGGGCAATGCAGTTTACATCATCATTGGAGCTCTAAATAGATCCAAAACAACACTTTGCAGGAGACGGTTCCACATAACCATCTAAACATACAACCCTCCTGTTTTTGCTAATGGAAATGTTATAGATGTCGATGTTATGAAGTACAAGCATGGAAAGCTAATAAACTCTCTTTTCCTGTATAAAACCAAATAGACAATTTGAAAGGTCAAGGATCAGTTATGAAGTGATTTTCAGTTGAACCGAATAGAAGAGGCTAAAAACACACCTTTTTCCCTGCCGCCCTCCACGCCATTCATATGTATTACAACCTCCAGACCTGTAGACAATAAAACAAAAAGAAAGGCACTATTATAAGCCATGCTAGTCTAAATTGACACTGCTAAATGACTTGAGACAAAAAGGCTAAATAATGTATAGAATTAACCTCAAAAGAAAGAATGTACCAACCAACTATGTTATCCTAAATATATTTGGATTCGGCTATATAAATCCAGGGGAACTACTCCTCTCTATTTGGGCCCAATTCATTCCAACACTACATTGCCTAAGGAGTTCACTAAAATGATAGAATACATTAATGTGAATCAGTAAGGCCAAAAACACTGAGTTCAAATGGAAACTGAAGGTATACCCAGAACGTCAGGCAAATCACCCAAATCCCCTCAGAATGAGTGATTCTTAACATAAGTTTGCTTCATAGAGAAGTTCAGATGCATACATAAAACTAAAAGAAGTTCAAGTTTTTTATGTGAACTTCCCATTGAAAAGACAGATATTGGTTGCCTCTCATTTTCCAATACATCAGCAGGGGAAGATGGAATACAAATGATAGAGCTTTTCCGAGAATTATAAAGGTAACAATATCCTAAAGCACGAGTAGAATCAACCTAAATCGAAAACAGTGATATTGATAAACGATAAAATACAGTAATGAAAATCAACAACATGACCAAAACCCTAAGCTAACAATAGAAATGCATAACTTACACCCTAAGAGCTAAAAACAGAAAATAAATCCATACCCTCAAATTTCTTCATCAAACCCATAACACCCCTCTTCGCAAGGGAGCAAATCTTAGCATAAGATTGGTTCAATACTTAAAAAACAAGTAAAGATGCATACGTTGTGTCCAAGCCAGCTTACCCTCAGCTCAACTAATTCCACGGGACACCTGCCACCTCCCACTAGCAAAAGGTACTAGGTAACACTGTCTACCAAGGTTAGGACAGATACAAAGAATCTCCTAATGTTTTTGTCTCCGGATTTGAACCTAGGACCTCACCGCTCTCAACTACTTAATTAGCCACTAGGCCACACCCTTGGGTTCAATTAACTAAAAACTCTATATCCTTTCAGTTCTATCCGAGACCATTTTCATATAATAACAAGTACAGACAGATACATATAAAAACTGATAAAGTTCACATTTTTATGAAAAAATTGCATTGAAAAGATAAAATTCAGATATTTCCAACCCCTAAACAGCTTCCAACATATCAAAAAGGCAAGATGGTATGCGAAAAAGAAAATCTTTATGGAAATTATACAGGTGAAATTACAATCTTTGGTACATAATGAAGTAGAATAAGAAAGAAGAGGTTCGGTATAATGACCTGATAATGGATCTACTAAAGAGGCGAGAAACTGATGTTGAAATGAGAACTGCAGATTCTTGAAGGCACCCCACAGAGTCTAATGGCTTTTTCTTTCTGTGTTATTGTTCGAAAGTCCCAGAGGGTGCGAGGCCAAAGAGAGGGAGAAGAGAAGAGGCTCTCTGGTTGAAAAGGATTTTATTTTATTTTTTAGTAGGGTAAACAGAGTCAAAAAACTAATTAAGGAAAAAATCTTTGAAAAGCTTTATTAACCAAAAAAAAGATATTTTTGAAACGTGCAATTTTAGTTTGATGGAGTTCTTTTAAAAAAATTTATTTGTGAGAAATTGCTATGCCCTACTATTAGTAGGATATGATGAATTTCGATGAGAAGAATTAATTTTACGAATGAAATTATTTATAGATTTGATGGATTATTTATACAAAATTTAATATATAAAATAATTATATGAAATTGTTATATGATTAGCATTTTTAAAGACTTACTTATTGCATACGACACCTTTTTCTTTATTTCATTTTTTTTTTGATATGTAACTTATATTTGTTTAATTATTTAATTATATAATGCTTGGTTTCCGATATTAAAATCTGCCTAACTGGAAACCCAACAAATTAATGCATTCCTTCTCTGGTTTGTCTTTAGATAATTTTGCAAATTATTCCTGTTTCAACTATCATTTATTAGTATTATTATTATTATTACTATTAATTAATTATAATGGGACTTTTGGCCTTCCAAGATTAGTATTAACAAATTTAAATTGTTTAAGTTCATTTTCTTGAGCTGGCTCATACATGACAACATATCGAAATTATAAGGATAATAAAGCGTTGACATAGAGATGCGAATACTTCTATTGATAAAGTATGGAGAGCCATCAACTCCGAATAATTTTATTCTCTCGACCCAGCAAACTCAGGGTTCCAGCAACTTAACACTTATTGTACAACATTGAAAACGAGAATATAACGTTGTTGAAGAAAATATCCCTCTAACATGAGTCCGTTATAATAGTATATAAGCACAACAGTGCAGAGAAAAAAGGAAATAGTATACGAGCAGGTGCCATTTTCAGAATATCCCAAGAGTCGTGAGCAAAAATGCTAATGCTTCTCATGTAGTATTAGACAGCAACTTGACCGAACAGACACTTGCGAATCTGCATGCAGAGACAGATGAATTATTAAACGAATAGACACTTGCGAATGGAAACCAATAGAACAAACATTTGAGAAATACAGTACCACTTGTCTAATGGAGACAAATCGATGGATGGAGCTACAGTAAAGTAGGTTATGGTTTGTTTTTCTTTTTCTTTTTGATAACGGATTAACACTAGCATCCAGACCAGCTTGCACCCACTCAACATACGTACAAAGTAACTTTGTCATTGATGGCTAAAAGTAGGAGATCTCCTCGTGCTCTCACACATACTTCTTAGGAAGACTAGAAAATGTTAAACCCGTCAGACTGGAATGTGATCTTTTTCTCTCATCCAACACATGCTCTCTGGCATTGTTGATGTGATTATCTAAGTCTTAGTGTTACCCTACCTCAAACAGGCTGAATTACCTATTTGTGGTTTTGGGGAGGGGCACGTAGTCTAACATCATCAGACACTAGTAAGCAACAGACTTGCCCTCATCACTACCTAAGTTCTGTACCAGGAAGAACATAAAAGAAGATGACTGAAGTTTTTTAAAGTTTAAACCGTATTTGGTAAGAGGTAGACAATGTCTATAACTTAGTTGAAACTTGAAAGTACTACGTGACGTCTAGAACTTGCTGGGGAAAATTTAATCCACTGAGATGCCTATCAAAAACATGTAAGATTTTGTAGCTCATTTGATTGACATCTCAAAGTAGAAGGGAACTACTACAGAGAGCTAAAGTTAATAGGTGGACCACAAGAGTGTAAAACATGGGTGGAACCATGAACGTCAAAGTAGAAATTTGACAACATCAATAGGAAATTTTCAAAAGTACAAAAGGACTGAGGAGCACAGAGAGTACCTCTGGTAGCTTCTTACGGAACACAACTTCTAATCTGGCGTCAAGTGTATTTTCACATACAATTTTCCCATCTCGAGAAGCCAAAACTACTCCTCCAGAGCTGTGGCATAGAAAGAGGGAGAAAGAGAGAGAGAGATCAGTAATGGTACCTAATTAGTGCTTTAACTTTCTCTGTAGAGCAATGATACACGGTAAGCAAGAGAAACAAAAGGCCAATCCAAGTCCAACTGCACATGAGTCGCCTCCATCTAGTGGAGCGCCAATTTGAGAACTAAGAGCTTTCTAAAGTTCCCTATTGAAAGTAAGAATGAATGGCAGTGTACCAGGAAGGGCCATGAGCATTGTGATGTGATGGAGCTGGTGGAAGGTAGATCTGGTCAACTATGACCTCAGGTGCATGAACTTGAGACTTCTCTGCATACTCTTCCTTTGCTGCATCCAAGACATCTTCAACCAAGGGAACATCATCTTCCCGACAACGTAGTAGGACAGAAGGCTCTTTAAGTCTGAGCAAACTCTGTAGCACAAATAGTTGATTGTTAGTTATGCCCAAATAAGTCCCAAAAGTCATCAAGAAATGTAGAGAAAAACACAAACTTTGTAGCAACTTTGGCACAGCACTCAACAGTTTCTAAGAAAATGTGATAACCTTCATATTATCCCTAAAAGAATGTTAACCAGCTTGAGATACTGAAAATAAAACATCAACTTCCAAAGGATCCAACTTGAAGGGTAGAAGCAATAGAAGATTACATTTCAGGCTCAGGCTATTCAAATGATACTCTAATATCTGTAATTGCAACCACTCCTACAATATATCTTCACATCTAAACATTCTAATGCACAATCAGAACTTCATACAAGAAATCACATGAGAAGTCATATGAAAATAGATTGTCTTTCATAAAATAGCCTACTCATTTTCTACGATACAAAGTATATTCTGCCAACTCCAGTAAGAGAAAAAAGGGGAGGCAGTGACAGAAAACTCATGCAGCTTATTGCTGTCAGCCAAAGTACCTGAACAATAAGAGCTTGCAGAAGCTTCTTATAGATATGGTGGTTGTGGTGATGGCTGACATTTAAAAGTTCCTTTGATGCTGCCTCCTTCATGGAGCAGACCAAGTCATCCTGAGCTTGAAGAACCTTGATTCGAGAGGCATTGAGTTGCATGGAGTACTCACTGCAAAAACAGTATCAAGAAACTTTAACCACTCTACTTTGCCCAAACAAAATTGAAATTGGATTACTTTAGCCACAGAAATTGTTGTGTTCACAGCAAAACAATTTTAGAGAATCAACTTTAGACTAATAATACAATGAAATACGTTAAAAGAAGGTTTATATAGGCCAAGTGGAGTCACTAAAAAATCTATCAATCAAGATCAGTTGTACGAATTACTTCAGTTGTTCAGAAATTTTTTACATGATAGAACAACAACATGACCAGTGTAAATCCCATAGGTGGGGTCACGAAAGGGCTGTTCCAGTAGACTGTCGAGAAACACACATCAAAGCAATTTAAAAAAGAAAAATACAGAAGTAAAGAGGACCTCACAAATAATAGGGAATATGACTTTTAGCATATGTCAAGGCCAAAACACTCCCGCAAATACAGATGTTACCACAAATGTTTTATCCAATCAATGCCCAATAAGATCACAGCTAATCCACGGAACTGATGATGTCATGCAAAACAAATTACAATATTGTCTGTTCAACCTCATAATCACGGAGAAACAAATAAAACCACCTGAACAACTCTAACTTCCAAGTAAATTTTAAGCATAATTTTGATATTTGTTTTATGTTTGTAATATGTGTCTGAGAGCATCGGAAGACCACAAATCCAGACAGAACTGTGATCTTAAATTTTACTCATACCATAATTAATTGCATAATCTTTTTTTAATGACTGGTGTCAATGATGGATGAAAATTGCTATACAACCCAAATTGGGGAAATTACATTTTCTTGCGAACATCAACTTGTTTCTCCTTACGCTCGTATTCCTGTCTGATCTTCTTTTTCTCTGCTTCCACTAGCTGCAACTTCTCAATGTTGAATTCCTAAAACAATCACAAATCCAACATGCTCATTAACACTCTAACAACAGTATCAGTATGACTAAACACCGTAAACTTTCCAATTGGAGCCAAATTTGTATAATCATGCCTCCATTCTCCATGAATGCATTATTACTCTAAGACGAGGTAAATATAATTAACAAACTCCATTTTACTTAAAGATGAGCATAATTTGTATAAGAACAGCTTACTTCTTCGCACATTCTTACTCTAAGAACAGCAGATATATCTATGACTAAACTCAAATTAACTTCAAATTTGTTGTGTAGATTTTATAATAACTGTTTAGTACTTTGGAGCAAACGTTATTACTTTTGAGAACGAGAGATAAACTGACTACCAAACTGAGATCAACTGCAAACGGATCAACAGCATGTCTAGCCATACTTTTAAAATCAGCTAATTTTGAAAAGTGTTTTTTACTTTTTATCTAAAAGCGGTTTTCAAAAAAGTAATTCTTGTAAGAAGCATTTTGTGTTTGGAGAAAAAGCACATTTAAGCAACAATTAGTGTTTTGCCGAACTTCTAGGGAAAAACTACTTTCTTAGCTTCAGAAAAACAGCTTATGCTACTTTCCAGAAGCTCTTATTCTCTCCAAAAGTTTGGGCAAACACCTCACTTTTAAAAAATAAGCATTTTTGGTCTCCCACAAGCTTGGCCAAATAAGCTGACTTATGTACACAGTTAGTACAAAGATTTCTTATTTGTCGATGTATTTTGACCTTTTGAGTAAAAATGTTACTTGCAGTTTCCTTTTAAGTGACTTGATGTCGTCCATGCATAGGACTTATATTCACTTCAAAATCGGACCATGATTTTATAATTAAGGGTTACTTCTCCAATGCCACATTATTACACTATGACCAAATTTGACAACAATATTGGAGCATATCTTGAAAAAATAATGCTTACTTCTTTCATGTGCACATTAGTACCCTAAACTAAATTAACTTCAATATCAAGCCATGTTTTGTATTAGTAAGACTTACTTCTTTGATGCGCGAATTATTACTCTATATCAAAATTTAACTTCAACATTGGATCAAATTCTGAATAACTAAGACTTACTTCTTGGATGTGCACATTATAACTCTAAAACTAAATCAACTTCAACATCAAGCAATGATTTGCATTACTGAGCCTTACTTCTTCTATGAGCACATTATTACTCTGTATCTAAGGCTAAATTCAAAATTAGAGCATATTTTTTAACAACTGAGGTTCACACTTCTTCAATGTTTCATATTATTACTCTAAAACTTAATTTTCAACATCAAGCCATGATTTGTATTACTAAGCCTTACTTCTTCAATGAACACAAGCACATTATTACTCTATGACTAAAATTAAATTCAAAATTAGAGCATATTTTTAAAAATAATTAAGATTTAGAATTCTTCGATGCTTCATATTATTACTCTAAAACAAATTAATTTCAACATCAAGCCATGATTTGTAGATCGTTACTCTATGACTGAATTTAGCTTCAAACTAAGAGAATATTACTAACAAATAAGGTTTACACTTCTTCCATGCTTCACATTATCACTCTGAAACTAAATTAACTTCAACATCAATCCATGATTTGAATTCGTACTCAATAACTAAATTAGCCTCAAATTAGAGCATATCTTATACTTATTCGATCCTTCGAACTACTAAAAACTGAATTCAGTTCAAAAAATAGTGAATAGCAAGTAAATAGGGCATACTTCTTCGGCGGAGACGGAGATCTCATTGGCTTTTTCTTCAGCTTCCTGACGGATGAATCTGACCATCTGCTGGATCTGCTTTGATACATCTGCATCGTTCATCTTCGCAAATTTTGGATCGTAGAAGAAATGTGGATTCTGATATTAGCGAAATGAGAAACTTGTGGAGTAGTAGTAGTTTTATTGGTTCTCTGGTGAATTCACATGACTCACGTCTCCGATTTTTATAGGCCGCTATATGCCAGCAACACACATCGCATCAACTCACACTATAATTGAAATAATCGAAATTTTAATTTATTTATCTGAATTAATACGAAATATACGTAGAATATATAAATTATTTGTTCAATAAATTTTAATTAATTTGAGACGAAAGTGATATTTTGAATAAACATACATGATATGTAATGGTAAATTTTAATCGAAATATAGTGAGCGAATTTATTTTATCATTTTCTTTTCCCCCTTTCTTGAGTTTTTTATTATATATATATCCACATCATATTATATAATTTATATTTAATATATATTGAACAAATAGCAATTACATATTAAGAAAGAAAATTAATTAGCATTAGGTGGATAAGCTTTATATACTATAAAGTAACAAACTAAGCAATTATACTGATTAAAGAAAGAACTTACAAAATTGTTATCAACTTAAGTATTTAAAGAAACCAAAAGGAAAATATGGAATGAAGATTTTAGATTGCTATCACAATTAGGTAATGAAAATAAAATAACATGATAATAATAATAATAATAATAATAATAATAATAATAATAATAATAATAATAATAATATAAATATTTAATAATTCATTTTTCTCATAACATTTTCTTAAAGTTTCAAATATTAATTAGATTTATGACATTTTTGTTTAGAGAAATCTCAACATGTTAAGGAAGTTTCCTCCCCACATGGTCCCTTGTCTTTTAGTATAACTTTTTTCTTTTCAAAATGTGCATTTTTGGCCGGAAAATGTGTGTATTTTTATTTTTATTGAGAATTAAAATAATATATATGTGTATAGTACGGTGATAAGGTTAATTGCATAATAGTCGTTGAATAGGTTTAGATAACATAAATTTAGGGTGAAGAAACATAATTCATATGCTTACCTCTGTAGCACAAATGGATTAATTAATTTTGGGAGACTTGAAAAATTAAACTGCTAAAAAATTTTACTCTTTTTATTTTTGCCTAATTTGAATTGTAAATGTAATCAATTTCTTTGAGAAATAGTCACCATTCATTATTGCATAGCCCAATTGATTGATTATATTTCTACTCTACATAAATTATTGTTATAGCCCCTCAAGTAACTAAACATAAGTTATTGATATCAATATTAGACATGTGACAATTGATACTCATATAATTTGAGAAACTAAAAATGATGACTAAATCCCGTTTCTATAAATATAATTCTCCTAACCTTATAAGAATTGATTCCTAATTATTGATAAGCTAAAATAAAAATAAATCACATAACATATTGTACAATTAAATATTGTTGTGTTAATCCTTTTTGTTTTTGACTTATATATAAAGGTAATATATATATATATATATATATATATATATATATATAATATTTAAATTATGTGTATTATTTAGAGGATAAATATCAATTAATTTAAAGGATGGTTATTTATACAAATGAATATTAATCTTTTGACATTACATTTTAAAAGTTCAGCGATAATTTATATTTTAAAATGTGATTTAAAATAATGCAATCTCTAGAATTATTTTTTCTGCTTAATCAACTCAAGTCGTAAATCAAGTATGACTACTAAAATACAATTTAAACTAATATCATCTCCAAAAATATTGGCTTGATTAATTAACTCAATGAGGTATGTAAATAACACTTCATACATGGCTCCACATATTTGAAATAATTTAATAATTTTATGTTTCAATGATCATTTTCCAATTTTTCGTGATTCTTTTTAACTAATATTTGTCAATTGGTCACTTAATCGTATGAATTGTGATTCTTTTTAACTAATATTTGTCAATCGATCACTAAACCATATGTGCAGGGATAATAAAATTTCGTTAAAATTATAGCATATTGTTTTTCTTTTTTTTTCAATTTTGTCATGATATAAGATTTAAGAAAGAAATTTTAAAATTTCATAATTTTTTTATGAGTAATTTTCATATATACTAAACATAAAAATTATATTTGTATGTCATAGATATACTTTGCATAATTGCATGCCATAACAAATATAAATATACATATTTTGCTATACATTTAAAAAAAATTGTTGTATAATTTGCTATATATATACAAAGATATCAATTATATAATTTGATATACATATACAAAAAAAAAGCAGTTGTATACAAATCAATTGTATAATTTGTGTATGTATAAAATGAGAAAGAGAGAAGACAAAAGAAAATTGGATAGAAAAATATTTCATTGTATAATTATAAGTGTATAGGACCAAGATATCTATATTTGCAGGTGTGTATACAATTTTATCTCGCTTTATACAAATAGAAACACAATTTATACATTTATTTTCTGTTTGTATGAGCGATAGAGGCGAGGATGGCGAGCGAGATCAGGGAGAGGGGAGAAAGAGGAACGAAAATATATGAAAATCAATTCTCTCGCTTTATACAAACACAAACACATCATATATATTCGTGTTTGTATAAAAGCAAGAGGAAGTGAGCGAGAGAGGCAACTGACAACCTATTTGCTACAGAACACAACAAAATCAAAATATAATTATAACATTTAATTCAAATTATTAATTTATCACTATATACAAATTTTTTTTTTAAAAAAATTACCTTTTATAGAACCTTTATTTAAGTACCTATCAACTTATTAATGAGTTGCAATGTATCAGTAAGACTATTTACATCCTTAATTAATGCCAGAGTTAAAATTCTGAATAGGAAAAAAAATTCTTAAAATATGAAAATAAAAAAAATATCCCAAATTGACAATTGGATCGAAAATCTAGGCAATTCAATCAGCTCCGATCAGTCTAAATTCATCCGATATCAATCGACGTATCCGGCCGCTGACGAGTACTGATCCGTCGGAGTCGACGACGTATAGTAGAAATGAATAGCAGGGGTTCCGCCAACCGGTTATCATCCACCTCCAATTTCCGATCTCGAATCTCGTTTCTAATGCTCTCTATGTTCTCTACAATGGCTGCTCTTTATGTTGCCGGCAGGTTGCTCTCTCTTTTGTATATATATTTATTTGTACATCCATGCATAGCTGCACATTTTCCTTTTTTTTTGGTTTGTTTATTGTTACACTGCTAGTGTCGTGAAATTTTGTTTTAACTTGCTGAACTGGGCTATGTGAGATTTGCTAAGTGGAGATACGTATTTAGTCCTTGATAACAGGGTGAGTAGTTGATTAATGGAATGATTTCTTTCAATTAGCTCTCTCATCATTTGTTGTTTATGGTGAATCAGTTATAACACTATTTTGTTGTTGTTACTGTTTCCTTATTAGTTTCTAGGTTTGTTTTATTATTGTTTTTCCTTTTCATGCCTACTTTGATTTGTTGTAGTCAGTTGAGAGTCCTCTATGAGTTACGGGAAACCCCACTTGTGGGATTTCACTGGGTGTGTTGTTTTTGTAGTTGACGATGATGATTTAACTGTGGCAACTGGTAATTGCATTATTGGCAGGTTGTGGATGGACTCGGAGAATAGGGTATATCTTATTCAAGAGCTTGATAGGAGAACCGGACAGGTATTTTCTCTCTAATGGTAATATTGTTCTATTCATGTGGTAGATAAAGCTGATTCATTTTCCCTGAATTCTCCTGTCATCTTTGTTTTAGTAAGTTGTAGTATGTAGGATCAAATAAGCTCTATAAAGATCAAGGTGGTTGTCATGTGAGGATTATAATAGCTGACCATGAGGTAGTCTCCTTGATCTGAATATAGAATATGATTGATTATAAAGAAAATACAAGGTTCCACATTATCAAATGTTAACTAGCCATCTGTATAGGTTTGGTGAAGAGTGCATTTCCCTCATGTAAGACTCAACATTGTCACAAGTTTTACTTGGGCTAATCTGCTAGAACTTCACCCAAGTTGAGGAACCCCCAACCGTGCACCAATAAGATCACCAAAAGCCTTTTATGCCTGGTTTTTGCTAGTTGTTCACTTGTTGTAGTAACATAAAATGAATGAGCTCAGAAACAGGAAGAAATTCTATTCATTATTAGTATGACATAGTCATGCCAGATTATGCACCAAACCCCTTTTACATGAAAGACCTGGGTTTTATTGCTATTTAAAGGGCTTAGGAAGCGGCAAGAGTCCTCTCTTTCATATGTTCACCTGAAAATTCATTCACGAGAGGAATCTCAAGGTAAATGGTACTGCACTGCTCAGGCTAGCCCTTCTAAAAGCCTTCGTTACATATGCCTGTTTATGCTTGATATCCGATGTAAACTTACCCTAATAAAGATTCTTTCTTCAATTATAAGTTTTTTGTCAAAAAGTGTACTTCAAAAAAGGTTTTTTTTTTTCCAGATAGTTTGATGAAGTTGGCATTGAGATCTCAATTTTTTGTTGTCTCATTGGTCCTGATGAGTTGAGTCTTGAGATGGTTAATGTTATATCGAAAGTTATTAGCATGCTTATCTTCCTTTGTAGGGCCGTTCGGCTATATCAGTAGATGATACACTGAAGATCATAACCTGCAGGTTAGATGATTGTTATTGAATTTCAGTCATAGCTTTGAGGGAATTTCTCATTATATTGGAATTTTATGCTGGGATTATACAGGCTTATGTTGTCTTTGCCAGGGAACAACAGAAGAGGCTGACTGCACTTCAGATGGAACTGGGTAAAGCCAGTGAGGAAGGTTTTGTGTCAAAGCATCTACTGGATAACAATGAGAAGGATTCAAAGAAAAAACTTCTAGCTGTTATAGGTGTCTCTACAAATTTTGGCAACAAGAAAAACAGAGACGCAATTCGCAAAGCATGGATGCCTACTGGTTTAGCTTGCTTATCCTCTCCCCTTTTTCTTGATTTCTTTTGTTAGGCCTTTTGTGAAAGCTAAAATTGAACCAATTCGACTAAGATGCTGAAGTTATATTTCAGCTCACCTTGTTGATAAAATCATTGTCTGTTGAACACATTTAGACTGGATTCCTGTGGAATTCCCTAGTAATATCATTGATCTTGTCTTAATCAGGAGTATCTGCAGTACAACTGCTATAATGACGAGTTAATTTTTGAAACAACTGATTTCATTCTAAATTTGTAAGTTACTTTTGGCAGGTCCTGCTCGTAAAAAGTTAGAGGAGGAGAAAGGTATCGTAATTCGATTTGTCATAGGAAGAAGGTACCTACCTTGATAAATCTGAATTAAATAAAGGATACACCATAATGCTCTTTGAAAATAAGGAACTAGATGTTTCTTTCAATCAGGTTACTTACTCGAATTTGCACCTCATGCAGTTTGAATCGTGGAGATAGTTCGGATAGAGCCATTGATGATGAAAGCAGGAGTTTCGATGACTTCATCATTCTTGTATGTGAAGCTTTTGCATGTCATTTCTTATAAACTAAGTTTCTTGTTATCAACTAAAGATAGAATTTTTTTTATTTATTACCATTAAAGAAACGAGCTTTAAGAATGTTAATTTAACTGAGATTTGTTAGTCGTTCTAACCTATTAAAATCAGTGTTGTGAAAGACGATCGCCTCGTCGCAATGGCAAGAGGCGAGGCGAGGCGATCCTCATCGACTTTTAGCTTTGTGACGAGGCGATTTTCAAAGGCGACGCCATGACGACAAAAGGCGAGAGGGAAGAGGCGAGAAAGGCGTCACCTTTTGTACTTTCTTAGAAAAAGGTGACTAATTTAGGGTTTTAAAAGTTAAAAGGTAATTTTAGGGTTTTCGACTTGACTCCTCCGACAATTAGACAGTCTTCTCTGGCGACTCCAAAGTCTACCAATACATATTTCTTCTTTTCTTCTTCAGATTTCTTCTCCTCTATTGTTTTTCCTTCTTCTTCTTCTTCTTCTTCAGACTTTAGAGTCACTTCTACCCTTGTTTTGACTTTTGTTATGTTTTTTTTCTCATTCAAGTTCTAGACGTTTAGTATGTACTATCTATTTTTTGATTTTGAATTGAAAAAATTGCTAAAATGTTACTGTTTGATTATTTACATCCGCAATTAAATATTTTAATTTTTTTGTATAAAATGGTGCCACACTTCAAAATGGCGAGCGCCTCGCCGCTCGCCTTGCCTTGTGGAGAGGCAGACCCTTGTCGCCTTTTATCGCCTTTCGCTGTCCAAAACACTGATCAAAATAGAATAAATCTTCTTGCGTTATTCACATCCTTCCTCCACCAGAGAAAGAAATAGTAGTAAATTAACGGTAATCAAATTCCACTTTCTTTTCGAGGAAAAGAATTTTTCAAATAATAAATGGGTAGCAATTGTGTTGTTATATGTCAGCACACTCATGTCGTGTGAGCTTATTTGTATGTCTTTATAAGTATATCTTACCGTTCTGAAAATCGGGTTACTTTACTGTGCAATCTATTTCTTGAAGTACATATTTCTAGAAAACTCAGTATGTGAATATTATGTTCTTCCTGAACAGAATGATCATGTGGAGTCCCCTCAAGAGCAATCAAAGAAGACAAAGTCATTTTTTGCTCACGCTGTTGAGCATTGGGATGCTGAGTTTTATGCCAAGGTCAACGACAATGTCTATGTTAATTTAGGTAACAAGTATTAGGAGCCTCCAATATGTACGTTAGTGTATCTGTTGTGTTCTGTAGTCTGTGCTCTACGAACTTCTTTCCATTATCTATGATTTAATTTTCTTTCCATTTAAGAAACTGTTATGGTACATTTGAAGTCATTAAATTCTTAGACTCTTTAAGTGTAGGAAAGAGATCGCGAAAGAGTTACCTAATGTATGTCAGCATTGGCATGTTGAATTTGGAAATGATAATGAGGTAAAGAACAGAAAGAAGTTGTACCTAGGTGATTTTAAATTTCATTCTTGTCAAGCTGTAGTCTTCTCAAAGAGACAGTAAGGTCTAACATAAATCACAAAAAATGTACAAAAGCAAGACACTGTTGAATTGGTGTCATGTTACCTAAAATATTAAAGGCATGGTGCCTGTTTGTGGCCAACCAGGTCTAAATTGATTTCCCTAAGTGAGCAAATGTAGAATGCGCCATATTGTGTGAAAGTTGCTCAAAAGAAAAGTTGCCTCATTTACAAAGCTAGGACCAGAATGAATCCTATTGAATTACGATTTGGAGCGTTCAAACAACTACCCTGAGTTCTATAACAGGGTCTCTTTTGATTAAATAAAGTTTGCAATAACCTTGAATAGTCTATTTATTCAATAGTTGTATCAAGATGCCAATGAGAATCTTGTTGTATCTTCTTACTCTACTCTCTAACCATCGCGAAATTGATTGGAGATGATCCCTTGAGATACTATAATCCTAGTGATAGAATCTCGATTGGCTATGTCCTTCACAGAAAATTGCAACGCCATAACCAATGAGACATAATATTATAACGCCATATCTATGATGTTCTTTGCTGAGGTCTTAACCTGTTAACACCTACAATATTCTTATGTTTTAAAAATATGTGCTGTATGCTTACGGGCTTTAGTTTATCCACAGATGCTATTGGATCTGTACTTACCACCTATCTGGATAAGCCTCGTGCCTACATAGGGTGTATGAAATCTGGCGAAGTTTTTTCACAGCCGTAAGTTTCTCCTGTTTATTGGATGATTGCTGTTTTGCTGAAACAGTGTTAGTTCTTCATAACCTAATTTTTGTTTCTTGTTCACAGGGAACAGAAATGGTATGAGCCAGAGTGGTGGAAATTTGGGGATGGAAAATCGTGAGTACTTCTGTAATATTTACTGAAATCATCTGGCTGAAGCAGGCAGTGCTAGATATACTGCAGAGACCCACTGCTGCATGTATTGTAGTTATACCTCTTCTCTGTCTAGTGCTAGTTGCTCGTGAGTCTTGGTTGGAAATATTGATCATACATAATTTGAATCTCAGAGTCAGCCCTCATAAACTGAGGGAGAGGACAATCTTTTTGCCGAGATAGACAAGAAAATATATTAATTATGGTTTCTGACATATATGTTCCAAACAAAAATGAAGATACACTATTTCAAATGATTAAAGGAAAATAAATATAGTAGTATTGCAAAAGAGGAAAATTGTTGGAGAAGGAAAATGAGTATATATTCAATGGAAATTGCATTATGAGTATTGGATTCGTATCTTCTTCCTTTTCTTCTTTCTTTATCTTTTGTGTTAGCAAACTTGAAGAGTTTTAATTTCATTAGTTATGTTAATATTTGTTGTAGAAATTGCACAAAATATTTGTGAATGGAGATTACTTAATATTTCCGGTCATGCTGCTATTCTGCTGATATCGATCAGGCATGACCTGCCAGCATCTGCATGCTGTTGAGTCTTCAACTTGTTTAGATGCTAATTCTTCCATTTTTTTTGTACTCTTTCGCAACCAGATACTTCAGGCATGCTTCCGGTGAAATATTTGCTGTATCGAAGGCCTTGGCTCAATTTATTTCTATCAACAGGTAAAATATGAGGGATTGACTGTGTACTTATTTTCAGAAAAAAGGTGGATTAGCATTATGTTTTTATTGCATGTTGAAGTAGCAACAACTGAGGTGCCAAGAACCTTGAGCTGGGTTTCTACTCTCATTAAAGGGTCGGTCGGTTTTGTTTGTAACATGTGTTTACTTACTTCTCCATAATTGTTTCCATGTTGGATTGATTGTATCTGTTAGTAGGCTATCTTTTATGCACACCACTCCACTTAAAAAGAAAAACAAAGCCATACGTTTCCATTAATTGTGATGGCAATAGTGAAATGCTTACTGTTTTGTCTCCCTCCACTTTGTAGATCAATGCTTCGCTCATATGCTCATGATGATGTGAGTGCTGGATCCTGGTTCATTGGCCTTGATGTGAAGTATGTTGATGAAGGGAAGTTCTGCTGTTCTTCCTGGTCTTCAGGTCTCTCTTTCTCTCTCTCTCTCCCTCTCCCTCTCCCTCTCCCCCCATAGGAAATAGGAGAGAGAAAAAAGCGATTGGCGCCTCCTTTTGCAGCAGTTATTGACCATATAAACAAATTGCTGTCTCTGTATGAGTTGTGGATTGTTTTATTTAGGAGGTTCTGCGGGAGTATCTCTAAATTTGAGTATGAAAATTGTTACTTCCTATTATAAATAGTTTTTTCCTCGTTAAAAATATAGATGATAGAGTGGTTTGAGTACACTGAGAATTATTACAAGGAAAAAAGGAAGTTTTCATATACGGACATCATTGTTATAATATACTGATAGCATTGTCTTGGTAATTTTTGGAGTAAATTTTACTTGCATCCCATTTTCTTTTTCCTTTTATAGAAATAGAACTGATCCATTTTGAAGGGAATGGTAGAAGATCCACTTTGAAGTGAAAGGTAGAAGAGATAAATCTTGGTGCTAGAAAAGGAACTGAAGACAATTGTTGCCAGAGTTATTATGTCAGTAGGTGTTTTGGTTAAAGAAAGCTTATATAAAGAGGGGTGGAGAAAAAACAACTCCTGTATTGGTGAGGCCAGCTGAAGTTACTCCTGTCTTTATTTAGGGAACTGTTTTGAGGTCAATTACTTTGTTGTTTTCATCAAGCTTAAGTCATTTTGCTCTCTTGCCTGACGAGTTGAGACCTATAGATATTGTTTGTTTGTATCTTGAGAGTCAAGAGATGCTCTATACAATTGCGTCGTAGAAAAAGAACAAGGAATTTACTGCTATTGTTATTGCTCCTTGTGACATCATGGTATACTAAATTGCTCTTCTTTTTTTAGGGTCTGTATGCGCAGCAGCTTGATTGGATCGCCTCATTTAGTACATATAGAGAACAAGTCACTGGAGATCAGTTTTGCTGCAATTTGCATTTGGTGCCGTGTACAAAGGTGGTTGAAGTTTTTCACTCCAATCATGAAGAGCCGCGTGATAGAGAGAGCACACACCTTAGTTCTTGACATCACCATGCCTTCCAGTAGGAATGTAGAAAGGGTTGTTGGAGTGTAAGACACTATGGTCAGAAAAGTTATTTGCATGGTGATGTATTCACAGAGTGCACACATTGTCCATTATTTAAGCATGGACTATTACTATCAATGTTATGCAGATATTAAGTTTGTTGAACTATGTGAGGATTGTCAAATCTCTTGAAGATTGCTTCTTTAGCAATTTCAAATATGAATTAGTGAGCTTTGAACTTACGACTTATATCGTGTAGATTTGTGCGATCACCTTATTTACAAGCCTCTATCGTTCCATCTTCATCATTGCCAGAGACCCACAACTACTCAATATCATGAGCTATCTTTTTCTCCAAAAACCATCACATTTTCAACCATATTTTCTATCTCAAATCAAGATCCCCTCAAATTGGAATTAAATCTTCTTTAGAGATTTGAGCATGACACAGTATCACTAAATAACGTGTAAAATGTAATTGTGCATAATAGTCAATTGGTGAAAAGATCTAATAATAATAACAATATTTATGGAAAAGGTCTAATATGTTGTGGACAGGCATAATGTCATTTCTGTTTTTACTCAGTCTCATATATTTGCTCTTTTAGATTAATTCATCAAAGACATCAACTATGCCTTAAATTCTCATTATTATTTCGAGAATACACGAGTTCACTCTCGATATTCATATATATTCTAATATGAGATAAAATCATAAATTAAAATAAGAACGTGTGGATAATTAACTAGTGCTATTTATTTGGTATATATTGAGTAATACGTAAAGACGTGTGTCATGTATTCCTTTATTTAAGCTAAGAGATATGCAAAAACTTATGTAACATGAGCTTTTGTGGCTATTCTAGTGACACACTTTTAAAATTCTCATATTAATGATGATGGGGTAAGTGATGTTATTTGAATTTTGTCATTTGGTTTTGGGGATGGCCCTATATTTTATGTTGATATGGCTATGGAGTTTGGCATTATTCCTCAATCCAACCATTTGTCCCCATGTCTCTTTTTGTTGGTTAGCTAATTTAATGTATAAAATAATTATTTTACAAAGAGTAATGATTTGATTTATCGGTGGCGGAGACAGAATTTATACGTATAGTGTGATTTTCGATAAGGTATGCTCCTAGTTTCGCTTCTCGATTCAATCGAATCTAACAATTTTGACACGAAGAGAATATGTTATTATTATATTGATTTTTGAATTAATAATTTTAAAGGTATAATTAATTCAACGATAACTATCTAAAGATTGAATACATCAAATCTAACTAATTATGTTGGCTTGAAACATCCCTCTTCATCACAAAGAAAAAGCTTTATCCAAAAAATTATTAGTTAAAAATATTGTTTTGTAGCTAAATTTTAATTATTTGACAAGTCTACTTTCGAAAATGACTGCCATTTGCTTTCAAAATATTGAATAATCAAAGGTCAAATATTATTGTGAAAAATTTGCAAAAAAAAATTAAAATTGTTCCTACGAGTCAACTTAGGACACATAATTCGATAGCATAAGAAATAGAGGACATTCACTGATATTTACAAATTATAAAAATGGGCTAATTATTTTACAAATGGCAATAATAATTAAGATATGATTAAATCCAATTATTGACTATCTCTTGTTCAAGATAATTATATTTGATTCTATATATACTTCATTAAAATATTTATTTTAAAAAAATTGATGACAAGTGCTTAAATCATGTTGGAGCCACTAGCCATCCAAGTTGTGCTTAAATTTGAACTATATTTGCAATTTATTTAGTCAAAAAATGGTAGGGAGCATTTCCTCCACCCTCGGCTCTACGTGGCATAAATTTAAAATAATTTAGCTTCATTGTAGATATCTAACATCGAATAAATATTAATCAAAATTTTAGTTTAACTTTTTTACTCTCCCTTTTTATTTTCTCGTTCTTTGTCGCCCTAACATAAAAACAGTGGAGCTGAGTTCAGTTTCAGAAAATAAAATCATCCTTAATAAAAAATATTTTATTATTAAATAAATTCTTCAATATAAATTTAAATAAATCAAATCATAATATAAATATCAAAATCGAACAACAAAAAGGAAAAGAGAAAAAAGATATAGTTGGATATTTCAACAACTATATCCCTACTAATTCATTTCAAATTCCTCCCCCTCCTTGGAATTGACTCATACCATATTAAATCTAAGAAAATTGATTAGATGGTTGTTGGGAGAAATAAGTAAGAGAGAAAGCTAAGTAAAAATAATAATAATACATTCGATATAATTTTATAAGTAAAATTTAAGAAAATGATGCGTATGTAAACTTTGATATGGTGAAGCGAAGTAATTTTCGAAAGACACTCAGTTCAAATAAAAATAATTCAAAGCAAATTTAAAAAAAGAAAATCATATTAAAGTCTATAGAAAGAGAAAAGGTTACACCAACTAACAAAATGAAATGGATGAAAAAAAAACTTAAATAGAAATAAAATAATAACGTTACATGCGTTCAAAATTAATTAATCTCAAATCAAATATCAAATTTCGAAACGAAAAAAAAGAAAATATATGACATGTTTCAACAGCTATATACCACCTACCAACTACAAAAGGTTGGTTCAATAGTCTAAGGATGATGCTTTTAATCTAGACATCTTTAATTATGTTCCTATCAAAAAAAATTCCTAGGATGCTTGAAAAAGAAAACAAGGTATGAAATGACAAAAAAAAATTTATAAAAGTTGACGATAAGAGAAAAAAAGTATTATGCGATTAGATATAATGTATTTGATCATTACAAGAATGAAATTATCCTTCATATATATGCAAGTTACTATATAGTCATTATGAATAAAAAGAAAAAACAAGACTTACATGAGAATTTCTTAAATTATCCTAGTGCAAAATCTAATGTTATAAATTGTTCATTGTAATCAGATTTTTTTCTTAAATTTCATAAACATTGTTCATTGATAAGAGTCGTTATGAAATAATAAATACTTTTTTTTATGATCAACATAAGTTATACTGCAGGGTGAATTTGCTTCACTCTAAATTATATGTTTCGAATTTAAATCTTAAATATGAAGTTTGGAGTTAGTCGAGATTTCGAATAATGTAAGGAAAATTCAAAGGAAAATAAAATATGAGGTGTAACATTGTTTTACCCTTGGTATTTGACGTTTTCATATATATTTAAATTTAATCAAGTTATAAACCGAATCGGAAATTAAAAGTTAAAAAAAGGAGAAGTCAAGAGAACGTATATTTAGACCAAGATTGTCTTCAAAGGCCGTTAATTCAGGTAATCAACGTCCAATTAAATGTTGAAATGACAAATTCTAAGCTTTCATAATATAATTTAATGTAATGTATATACATTTATGCTCCCCATTTTTTTCTGTTCAAATATCTGACTTTTCTCAAGATTAATTAATAGCTGCAAATAAGTCCAAAGAGTCATTATGATAAAAAGAAAATAAAATCACTATTTGAAGAAAATAATTGGTTAGAGAATTTTCGTTCTTCCCTTTTTTGTTCTTGAAATTCTACACAACTGTAGATTCTTGGGGTTGCTTCATTTTTGGAGAAAAAGTAAAAAAGTTCAAATCTTTTTGAGTAAAAAAAGGGTATTTCTTGCTTTTTATGGTCATTAATAATTTCCACAAGAAAGATAAATTAGTGGAGTTGAGTTTGTTAGGATTTTGGTAGACTTTTCACAGGAAAACTGGGATTGTCACAAGGGGAAAAGTATCCAATTTTCAACTGCTTTGAGTAATTGCAGCTCAAGTGTTTGTTGTTTTGTCTAAATTAGAAATTTGTATAAAATTTGGAGGATTTATGCTGTGTTATATCAGAGAAAAACACAAGTTAGTTCTTCATATTGATATCCAGTTTGTGTTGTTGAAATGGATCATTCTGCAGCAGATAAGGATTATAAAGCTGTAGAATTTGCAAAGGATAAGAATGGGGTTGGTCAAGTTTTGCTTCGAAGTCTACGTGGCGCTTCTGTTCGAGTTAGTTTACTTTTGAGATTGATATCTTGTGTTTGTGTTTGATTGAAGGGTGTTTAAGATGAGAATTTTGTAAATCCTTTTGTATTGTTTTATGTATCCAGGTTAGCCTGCATGGAGGACAGGTTCTTTCATGGAAGACTGACCATGGTGAAGAATTACTTTTTATAAGTAGCAAGGTACATTTCTGAAGCCAATTGTGCTGAAACAATCGTTCTTGTCTTTCTTCTCGATTTGATTTGCAGATGAAAAGCTTGTAAGCAGAGGCAAACAGAATTTAGAGTTGTGAGTTCAGTATGAGCATGATTGTATATGCAGTTATTTCAAATATTTTTTTGGGCATATACTGATATACGTACATAATTCGAGCTGAAAGTAATGAGTTCAGTTGAAACAATGGAAGCCTCCTAAATCTGTCTAGTTTTGGGCATATTTTCACTAATCTTGCAATGAAAACTAAAAAGGAAATCTTGTAAACTGAAGAGAAGAGAGGAGTTAATATGTGTGAAACAAAGAATCTATTGCTATGTGAAAACTGATAGCTTACTCTCCTTTATGTGTTTTAGGCAACTTTTAAGCCACCAACAGCTGTGAGGGGAGGGATTCAAATTTGTTTTCCTCAGGTAACGCGGTAGTTTTCTATATACTTTATGTCCCTCTACAAATATGCTCTCACTAGTCCTTTCGGAATGTGACTGATGTGCATGTATACTTCTGAAGTTTGGAAACCGGGGCTCTCTCGAGCAACATGGATTTGCCAGAAATAAGATGTGGGTCATTGACGATAATCCTCCCCCACTGCACCCAAATGATTCCAATGGCAAAACATATATTGACTTACTACTTAAATCATCTGACGATGATCTTAAAATCTGGCCTCATGGGTACGAACTTTATAATCCATTTCTTTTCTTAATAGGCAACATAGTTATACTGTTGTGGAGCTTAGTTATAACTATTACATGTTTGAACGATATACTAGTAAACTTTCAGCTAGTGATGTTAGTCCTATCTTTCCTCTTTCTCCAGTTTTGAGTTCCGCCTGAGAGTGGCTTTGGCTTTTGATGGATCTCTTACCCTGACATCACGCATCAGGAATGTTAATTGCAAGCCTTTTAGTTTCTCCATTGCATACCATACTTATTTTTCTGTCTCAGATATCAGGTAACTATCATAAACTTTTGTTACTGAAGGATTCTTTTAAGCATAATGATGGTTTTCCGGCTCTAGTTTTGACTTAT